TTCCTTCCTCTGTTGGGAAGATTTTTGTGGTTTTTTGCTTTAATTTCCCCCTTTTTGTGTTCTATCACATTAATTAAAAATAATCAAAATAAACCCGAGATATTTTTAGGAGCTTTTGAAGGGCTGAGTCTCCTCTCCTTAAATTTTCTCATTCTTTGGATTATTTATTCCATCAAATCCCTGAGCTCCAAAACTTCCCATCTTAGCTCCTTTTTTTTGGGAATGTGCACTGCAGGAATTCCAGAAGGTGTCCCTGCCCATAGTCACTGGATGATCTTTAAGGTCCCTTCCAACCCAAACCATTCCACGATTCAGGAGAACTGGGAAATATTGAAATCAGAACGGGACAGAGAACAGAGATTCATTTTTTTTTTCCCGGAAAATTGAAAAAGGTTTGGCTCCAACTCCTGGTTTATAAGGTGACAGGAGCTGCTCCTTACCACAGAGCCTGGTGGCGCAGTCAGCATTTCCAGGATGTCCCTGGGATAGGTTTTGGTGGAACGCTCCGAGCGGTCACCGTAGGATGGAGTCCAAGAGTGCGTAGCAGTTCCTCTGCCCGGGGACGACTTTTCCTCTGGGAAGCGCTGTTGTCTGGAACCTGGGATGGGAAAGATAATCCTCAACAAAAATATTCTCAACACTAGCAGGAAGGAACATTTCCATCTTCATTTTCCATCCCCGGGAGTGGCCAAGACCAGGCTGGATTGGGGTTTGGTGGTGGTTTTGTGTGGAAGAGGTTTCACAGAGACTTCTGTGAGCCAGAGAGAAGTTTGAGAAGAGGATCCATGCTTGATAAGAGGGTCCGGGTTTGATAAGAGGATCCATGTTTGATAAGAGGGTCCATATTTGATAAGGGGATCCATATTTGATAAGGGGATCCGTGTTTGGGAAGAGGATCCATGTTTGACAGGAGGATCCATGTTTGGGAAGAGGATCCGTGTTTGAGAAGAGGATCCATGTTTGAGAAGAGGATCCATGCTTGAGAAGAGGATCCATGCTTGATAGGAGGATCCGTGTTTGATAGGAGGATCCATATTTGATAAGGGGATCCGTGTTTGGGAAGAGGATCCATGCTTGGGGAGAGGATCCATGCTTGGGGAGAGGATCCATGCTTGGGGAGAGGATCCATGCTTGGGAAGAGGATCCATGCTTGGGTTTACTGTTCCTGATTTTTTTCATCTTTAACATGTTTTTTTCACAGAAGTGTATACAGCTTTTCAGTAATTGGAAGCTTTATATCACTTCTGTAAATACCTCCCATACAAAAAAATAATTTATTTAGTATCCACAGGTCTGGAGAAACCTGGGGTAGTGGAAGGTGTCCCTGCCCATGGCACTGGGTGGGCTTTAAGGTCCCTCCACTCAAACCAGTTTTTAAAACCAAAATGATTCTGAATAATTCAAATTATTTCAAAATTGAAAAAAAAAAATCTGGGATTTATCCTGTGTATAAAATCACATCTAAATATGAAATGAAGCCATAGAAATAACCTTATAAATATTTTGGTTTGGTATTCTTTCCTCTGAGGGCTCTGGTTTGCCAGGGAAGTTATGGATTCCCCATCCTTGGAAGTGTCCGAGGCCAGCTTGGAGCACCCTGGGATAGTGGAAGGTGTCAGGGTTGGAACTGGATGGGCTTTAAATTCCCTGCCAACCCAAACCATTCCAGCATTTTAACAGTTTCCAATCTCTGCATCCCATGGATAAAAGCTGCCAATGGAAGTACAAAGCATTATCAGCTCCAGAAATTCTTCTACTTCTGCTATTAAAAGTTTTTTAAAAAACTTACCTTCTCTTTTCTCCCTGGAATTCTTTTTATTTTTTTTTTTTTTTTACTCTGTACACCAGAAAAAGATCTTGCCCAGCAGTTCATTAAAAAAAAAAAGAATTATAAACCTCTCATAATCTCCCACAAGCAATCTCCCCCCTGCTCCAATCTCACTAAAAACCTCCCTTTTAAAGACAACCCTGGGGCAAGGTTTGGAAAATAAATTATTTCCTACAGTCCACGAGAGGAGAGGATCTCTAGAAATAGAGGAGTTAAACTTATTTAAACACCTATAAATGGAGCTCTAAGTGAATTTAATGGTGTGTAGTAAATTTAAAAGTTACTTTATGAGCAGCAGAATTGCCAAAATCTTGCAGTGTTAATGAAGTTTCTGTAGTGACAAGTCTGGAAGAGCTGCTGAGGAATAAAAAGCCCTTTAAAGGAGCTTCAGATACTTAAATCTATCTCCAAAAATACCAGGATTATATAAAAATCTTTTATTTTTAATCCTCAGGCTTTTTTTTTCTCCTTTTCTAATAATCTCTCTAGGGTTTGCTGGGGTTTGTTGCCTTTGAGACAAAAAGTCCCCAGAGTTTTTAAGGCAAGAAAATACAATATTATAGCAAACAAGGCAAGGAAATCACCTTTTTCATTTCAGATGAACGTGGAAGTTCTGGAAATGAAAACAAAATCTACCTTATTTAAAGCTAAATAAGATTTTTCAGCCGAGTCCTCACTGCTGCAGCTCTGAGAAGCCACAATGTGTACAGAAGCTTTTCCTGTGTCCACTGGGAAATTAATATTATTCATTCCTCCACGATCCAAAATTACATGAAATTATGAACTGATGAATATTGCACTGTCCTTTATTAAAATTTCCAGACATTTTGCCCTTTTTTTTTTTTCCAGCTGCTTTTATTTGCAGCCTTCCCCAGCCACATGGGCTGTGGATATTTGCTCTGTGCTCCTGAGGGAACTGATTCTCCTCCCTGCTCCAATGGATCTCAAATGGAAACAAATCCACAAACCATGGAAATTCCTGGAGTCAGAGGGAAAAAGTCCTAAAAACGAGCTGCTTTTTAATTCATCTTGCACATCCTCTTTTAACCATCATGTATTTTTAGTTTATTTTTTTTATTCCAATAAACTTCTCCTGCCTCTCTTTCCCTCCTGGAGCCAATTCTGTGGCTGCAGCATCAAGGAATTGGTCTGTTCCAAAGTCTGGGGGAGTTTTTGGGGTTTGTTTTTGTTGTGTTAATTTAGGAAGTCACGTAATTTAATACATTTAGGAATTGTTTTTAGTTTGGTTTTGCTGCGTTAATTTTGGAATTTACATCATTTAATAAGTTTAATACATTTAGGAATTTGTTTTTGGTTTGGTTTTGCTTTGTTAATTTAGTAATTTCCATAATTTAATTTATTTAATACATTTAGGAATTTGTTTTTGGTTTGTTTTGGCTGTGTTAATTTAGTAAATTCCATAATTTAATAAATTAAATAAATTTGGAAATTTATTTTTGGTTTGTTTTTGCTGTTTTCTGTGCAAATAAGGTTTGCATGGACCTAGTTGGTACCTGAGCTCACCAATATCCCCAGGCAAACTCTTCTATTCAGACTTACTGTGTAAAGAAAGGAAGTCTGCTTTGTTTCATCATTTTGAAAATATAGAGGTCATGATACACTAGGAAATATCACCCAAAAAAGGCAATACATTTAGGAATTTGTTTTTGGTTTGTTTTGGCTGTGTTAATTTAGTAAATTCCATAATTTAATAAATTAAATAAATTTGGAAATTTATTTTTGGTTTGTTTTGTCTGCGTTAATTTAGGAATTTACATGATTTAATCATTTAGGAATTTGTTTTTGGTTTGTTTTTTTCTGTGTTAATTTAGGAATTTACACAATTTAATAAATTAAATAAATTTGGAAATTTATTTTTGGTTTGCTTTTGCTGTGTCAATTTAGGAATTTCCATAATTTAATAAATCCAGGAATTTACATAAGGTTTGCTTGGCCTGGAGAGGAGGAGGTGAGGGGAGACTCCTCAGGGTCTCTCCAACCTCTGCTCCCTGTGACAGGAACAGGAAACAATGGAAGCTGTGCCAGTTTTAGGTTAAATTTTGGGAAAATTTCTTCTCCCAGAGGGTGCTGGGCACTCCCAAAGCTGCTCCAGGAGGGTTTGGACAATGACCCCAGGGTGGGATTTTGGGGTGTCTGTGCCTGGATGATCCTTGTGGAACCACTCGGGAATTACATGAAATATTGGGAACGGGAGATCCAGAGCCCAAATCCGACCTCAGAATGGTCAGGAAACTCCATCTGAGCCCAAAATCATCCTGAGGATAGTTGGAAACTCCATCTGAGCCGAAATCCAACCTCAGAGGAGTCAGGAAACTCCATCTGAGCCCAAAGCCATCCTCAGAATGGTAGGAAACTCCATCTGAGCCCAAAATCATCCTCAGGAGAGTTGGAAACTCCATCTGAGCCCAAAATCATCCTCAGGAGAGTTGGAAACTCAATCTGAGCCCAAAACCATCCTCAGAATGGTCAGGAAACTCCAACTGAGCCCAAAATAGGGTCAGGAAAACTCAAGAGCCCAAAATCATCCTCAAGAGAGTTGGATATCCATCTGAGCCCCAAACCATCCTCAGATGGGCCAGGAAACTCCATCTGAGCCCAAAGCCATCCTCAGGGAGTCAGGAAATTCCAACTGGGCCCAAAATCCTCAGAGGAGTCAGGAAACTCCCATCTGAGCCCAAAACCATCCTCAGAGGAGTGAGGAAATTCCAGAGCCCAGAAAAGGTCAGGAAAACATCCAGAGCCCAAAACCATCCTCAGGAGAATTGGAAACTCCATCTAAGCTCAAAACCATCCTCAGAATGGTCAGGAAACTCCATCTGAGCCCAAAATAGGGTCAGGAGACCATCTGGGCCCAAAACCATCCTCGGAGGAGTCAGGAAACTCCATCCAGAGCCCAAAAAAGGGTCAGGAAAACTCAAGAGCCCAAAATCATCCTCAAGAGAGTTGGATATCCATCTGAGCCCCAAACCATCCTCAGATGGGCCAGGAAACTCCATCTGAGCCCAAAGCCATCCTCAGGGAGTCAGGAAATTCCAACTGGGCCCAAAATCCTCAGAGGAGTCAGGAAACTCCCATCTGAGCCCAAAACCATCCTCAGAGGAGTGAGGAAATTCCAGAGCCCAGAAAAGGTCAGGAAAACATCCAGAGCCCAAAACCATCCTCAGGAGAATTGGAAACTCCATCTAAGCTCAAAACCATCCTCAGAATGGTCAGGAAACTCCATCTGAGCCCAAATCCAACCTCAGAGGAGTCAGGAAATTCCATCTGGGCCTAAAATGCTCAGAGGAGTCAGGAAACTCCATCTGAGCCCAAAACCATCCTCAGAGGAATCAAGATACTCAATTTGAGCCCAAAACCATCTTCAGAGGAGTCAGGAAATTCCAGACCCCACAAAAGGTCAGAAAAACATCCAGAGCCCAAAAACATCCTCAGGAGAATTCGAAATTCCATCTGAGCTCAAATCCATCCTCTGGAGAGCTGGAAACTCCATCTGAGCCCAAAACCTTCAGGGCAGTCAGGAAATTCCATCCAGAACCCAAAACTATCCTCAGAGGAGTCAGAAAACTCCATCTGAGCCCAAAGCCATCCTCAGGGAGTCAGGAAACAACATCTGGGCCCAAAACCATCCTCAGAGGAGTCAGGAAATTCCAGAGCCCAGAAAAGGTCAGGAAAACATCCAGAGCCCAAAACCATCCTCAGAAAGGTCAGGAAACTCCAGCGCCCAAAAAAGGATCAGGAGAGCATCCAGAGCCCAAAACCATCCTGAGAGGAGTCAGGAAACTCCATGCAGAACCCAAAACCATCAGAGCAGAGTCAGGAAACTCCATTTGAGCCCAAAAAAGGGTCAGGAGAACATCCAGAGCCCAAACCCCTGCTCCTGGAGGAATCAGGAGCAGCTCGTGGAGGTTCCAGGTCTCGCAGGCTGCATCATTGACAGATTTCAATAAATCAATTACCAATAAATAGGAATATCCTGCTGATAAAACCACTTTACCTGCCCTGCTCCTGAAGCCTTGAAAGCTGTCCGAAATGTCAGGTGGCTCCAAGCCCAGGTAGACCTTGACAAGGTGAGTCAGCTCTGTGAATGCCTCATCCAGCTCATCTGCACAGGGGGAAATGCATTTCGTGGCAGAGAGAAAAGAAACTGAATAAAAACCAACTTTTCATCAGTGCAAGGACACAAATCTCAGGAATTTGACACAGAAATACGCTTTTAACTTAGCCAGAAAATACAGAAATACATTGTTTGTCACAGAAATACATTTTTAATGTCTCTTGGGGTGCAAAACCTTCATCTTCACGAACAGCACATTGAAAAAAAAGCTGAAATTCTCTGCACTCACCTAAATATTTTCCTGTTGGTTTATTTCTTTAGGGCCATATTTAAATTGCAAGCTCTGTGTGCCACATTTACAGATTCACAATATTTTACACCACGGTGCTGTAATTTAATGTGGTGAACACCAAAAAACACCTCTACAAAAGGAATGAATTACAGAGGGATTCTTTCCAGAAAGGATTCTCCCAGCTGCTGTTGGAACCCATCCCAACCCTGGCATAAAGAAGACAACCTCCACAACCTGCTGTCCCTCAAACCCTAATTATCCCAAAGGAAATCAGCAATTATCTTGGTATTCTGCCTGCTGAGAATTGCAGACTCTCTATTTGGAATACAGTAATATCTATAAAGCAAGATGGAGGTTTGGGGCAGGGGCTGCTCCTTCTTCTTCACCTTCTTCATCTTCTTGTCCATGGGTTTGGGTGGTTTTGTGTAATTGGATTAAAAAGTCCACATTGTGGGCATAGATGGTTGGTTATTGGGTTAAAAGTGAAAATAATTTAGGTGTCATTTCTTAATTGGACAGTTTATCTTAAAAAGGCCTTGTTGAGAGAGATGGGGCTCCATTTTTATTTTGTTATTGAAGTGCTGTAGAACTCAGCTTGTGAGACTGTGACATAGATAAGAACTAACAAACATCTGAGTCCCAACAAGAAATACCATCTCACACATTTAATCCCAACCCTGGCAAAAAGAAGACAACCTCCACAACCTGCCGTCCCTCAAACCCTAATTATCCCGAAGGAAATCAGCAATTAACTCACCGGTGTTGATGACTGCATGGAAGTAGCTGGGCACGTCCTGGCTGACTTGCAGGTACATGTCCACCCTGCTCACCGCCTCTTCGATCTCCGGCCTGCTGAACAACCCTGTCCTCCTCAGGTGGACCCCGTATTTCCATTTGTCCTTTGGCACCAACAGCACGTACCTGGGTCTAAAGTGGGTATTCTTCAAGCTGTGGGCACCCTGGAAAATAAAGCAGAGGAAAAAAATTGGGTTTTTTTCTTGAAACTGTGAAATTTGGAGGTCAGTTTTTTCTCCATGAAAATATAGCAGAGAAAAACAGTGGTTAGTTGGTTTTTTTTTGGTTTTTTTTGGTTTTTTTTTTTTTGAAACTGTTTGTGAAATTTGGAGGTCAGTTTTTTCTCCTTGAAAATAAAACAGAAAAAAAAAAAACAGTGCATGTTTTTTAAAAATTAGTGTTTGTGAAATTTGGAGCTCGGTTTTTTCTCCTCGAAAATAAAGGGGTTTATTTTTGAAATTGAGTGTTTGTCCAATTCAGAGCTCAGTTTTTTCTCCTTGAAAACAGAGCAGAGAAAACAGTGTTTTTTCTTATTGAAATTGAATATTGGTTAAATTTGGAGCGGAGTTTTTTCTCCTTGGAAATAAAGCAGAGAAAACAGTGGTTTTTTCTTGAAATTGAGTGTTTGTTGAAGCTGGACCTAATTTTTTTTCTCCTTGAAAATAAAGCAGAGAAAACAGTGGGTTTTTTCTTGAAATTGTGTGTTTGTTTAACAAGGAGCTCAGTTTTTTCTCCTTGAAAATAAAGCAGAAAAAACTGATTTTTTTTCTTGAAACTGAGCGTTTGTTGAATTTGGAGCTGAGTTTTTTCTTCCTTGAAAATAAAGCAGAAAAAAACCAGTGGTTTTTTTTTTCTTAAAAATTAGTGTTTGTGAAATTTGGAGCTGAGTTTTTTCTTCCCTGAAAATAAAGCACAGCAAAAAAAAAAGGTTTTTTTTTCTTGAAACTGTTTGTCCAATTTGAAGCTGAATTTTTTTCTCCTCGAAAATAAAGCAGAGAAACACAGGGGTTTCTTCTGTGTTTGTTGAACTTGTTTTGCTGAGTTTTTTTCTCTCTGTTTATCCCAAATTCCTGGCTGGAAGTTGCTCTGCAGGCATTGGTGGCTACCAGAGCAAAGGGGAAGCGCTGCAAACATTGAATTTAATTTAAACCAGAACCGAGTGTCAGACTTGCAGCAGCCTCTCTGCAAGCGTAGGCTCAGCAAGATTTGAACTTTAAAAATTGGTGTGAGTCTCCTTTATGATTAGATTTCACATTAAAGGGAATGAACAGCTCTAAATTTTCAGTCTCAGCCCACGGCCCGTAATTAAAATTTCCTTTTAATGCTGCTAAATCACTTTTGTTCTGAGCCCTGTGGCAGATGATGGACTCAGCACCTTCTATTCCCACCCATAAATCACAATTATTGTTTCTCAGGGCCCACGGTGATACAAAACTCACTGTGGGATGAGGTTTTAGGTGACAGTGGCTAAGAATGAACAAAAACTATGGAAAAGAGCTTGAAAATGGCAGGAAGGGGAGGATTTGTTTTCTGGCCAGGTTTCTAAATCTCACAAAATCTCACTGACTGGAATGAGCCTGCTCCAAGAAGGTCACATTTCAGTCAGGTTTGAACTTGAAATATTTGTTAATTCCACAGAATCATTTCATTCATCTACACCCTCTGTCTCTGCCTCTAGATTCTGGTCAGCTGTAATTAAAATTTCATCCAAAAATTCACAATTTATGCCGAGACCCACTGCCTTCTTCTTCAGCAACCTCATTCACTGACCATATCTATTCTTAACATTTAAACCCATACATTATTTTTGATAATTTTGATATTTTTGAGTATTTGGATTTTTTGTTCTTGGAGGAACATCTGGCAGCAGCATCAAAGTGTGTTTCTGTTGACACAAACACTGAAAATCAAGTGCATGGAATGTGCAAGCTGCTGTTTCTGCTGATTTTGGAATATTTGAGTGAAAGCTGCATTGCTGTGAGTGCATAACTCCTGTGTGATCCCAAAACTTGGGTGACAAAAGGGGTTTTAGCTGCCTGCTTTGGCAATTCCCAGTAAAAGTTCTGGCTGGGGCCTGTGCTGTGGGCTCAGCTCCTCGTGAACAAACAAACACCACGTTCCATTCAGCTCCATCCCCTAAATTATTTGCTAACATCTTGTGTTTGCGGGGTTCCCAGATGAAGGGAGGAATGATAAATCTGACTCCACATTCTCAGAAGGCTAATTTATTATTTTATGATATTATATGATATTAAAGAATGCTAAACTGTACTAAAGAATACAGAAAGGATACAGAGAGAAGGCTAAAAGATAATAATGAAAACTTGTGACTCTTTCCAGGGTCTGACACTGCTTGGCCATAATTGGCCAAAGAGTCAAAATAATTCACATAAAACCAATTAAACAATTGGATAAACAATGTCCAACCACATTCCAAAGCAGCAAAACACAGGAGAAGCAAATGAGATAAAATTGTTTTCCTTTTTCTCTGAGGCTTCTCAGCTTCCCAGGAGGAAAATCCTGGGCAAAGGGATTTTTTAGAAGATGTGACAGTGACATTAACATGTCAGCTCTGGTGAGGAATGGACAGCTTGAAAATTCCACCAAGGTTTCATCTCCTGTTTTTCTTGCTTTGGGAATTTAAGGCCAGACAAGGAACACTCTCTGTGCCCATCAGGGAGATTCACACTCTGCCCAAACTGATGGGATAAAAAACCTGGAAATACCCGAGATGAAGTTATTAATTTGCTTTTTAATATCAGCCGAGCCACAGGCACTCAAAAATAGCATTGCAGCACTAAATTTGTCACTCATTTGAGCAAGGAAACACTTGGTTTTTAGTGCTGCTGTTATTTGTACATTTATATGCAAGCCAGTGGATGTGCATGGATTTATTTTGGGCCCAAACTCCTCACGAGCACCAAGGCACTCAACTGAAAATCAGATTTTTCATCACCAGTTTCCCAAACAAAATGATCATCTTGTAATTTATGACAATTAAAATCTGAATGCTCAGCTCAGGCTCTTGTGTTAGCACTGCACTCTCCAAATTTCTTTTTCTCTCTGCTGTTTTACACAACTGAAAATCAGATTTTTGTTCATTTTCCCAAAGAAAATAATCATAATGTAATTTATGAAATTTAAAACCAGAATGTTCAGCTCAGATTCTTGTGTTAGCACTGCACTCTCCTAATTTCTTTTTCTCTCTGCTCTTTTACTCAATTGAAAATCAGATTTTTGATCACCAGTTTCCCCAACAAAATTATCATCCTGTAATTTATGCAATTTAAAACCAGAATGCTCAGCTCAGGATCCTGTCTTGGCACTGCACTCTCCTACATTTCTTTTCCTCTCTACTGTTTTTTACTCAACTGAAAATGAGATTTTTGATCATTTTCCCAAACAAAATAATCATAATATAATTAATGAAATTTAATATCAGTATTTGATGAGGATGCTCAGCTCAGATTTCTGTGTTAGCACTGCACTCCCCTGCATTTCTTTTTTATCTCTGTTGTTTTACTCAGTGCCACATTCCAGGCACTCCTTGGAGCCTCTCCTTTTGGGATCTCACCTAAGGAAGCTTATTTTGAAGAAATAATTTGGAAGGAAATGCAGAATGTCTTTCCTTTTTGTCACCTGACCTAGCTAGTAAAGGGAATATAAGGGAATTAGAAGTTTAAATAGAAAATTAGCTAAAAACTTCAGCTTTTGGGGTTCCAAGAGAGGGATTGTGATTTTTTTTTGTGATTGTCTTCTACTTCTCCATGGGATGGGACTGTGCCACCACCCTGACCCACAGGGCTCAGCTCCTGCTCTCACTCTGCCAGGGATTTGTTTTATTTGTACTATTGCATTTGTATTTTTAATTTTCCTAGTAAAGAACTGTTATTCCTATTCCCATATCTTTGCCTGAGAGCCCCTTAATTTCAAAATTACAATAATTCAGAGGGAGGGGGTTTACATTTTCCATTTCTGGGAAGGCTCCTGCCTTCCTCAGCAAACACCTGGCTTTCCAAACCAAGACAAAAGGGAAGTGCTGGTGATGCTGAAAAAATAGACCAGAAATTGAAAATTTAAAAGAGCAGACCAGCAAAGGGATCCTTCTGACTAAACCAAGGTTGGAAAATCCCTCTAAAATCCTTTCCCCAGCACTGCCAAGGCCACCACTGACCAATGTCCCCAACTCCAGGGATGGGAACTCCACCACGGCCTGTTCCAATCCTTTATTATTGGAATTTTCCCCAATGTCCGACCTGAGGCCGTTCCCTGTGCCCTGTTCCAAAGCCCATGAAGAAATGTTCCCAGCCAGGTGATCCTCACCTCCATTTCCAGGTGATCCTCACCTCTATTTCCATGTGGACACAGGTGCCCAGCCCTTCCCTGGCTATGGATTCCACGGTGTCTCTTCCCAGTCCGTAGCAGTGGCCGCTGTATTTGTAGGTTGCCAGAAATTGCCCCTGAAATTTGGAACAAGGATAATGCCAAGGGAAATATTCCAAAGGGAACAACTTCCTCGAATGAGTGAAACGCTTTGGATTTCCCTGATTTCTGCCCCTACAGAGTTTCTTCCTGTTTAAATCAGCGTTAATGAGGGCACTGGGAGCCCAAAATCAGTGTTAATCAGAGAGCCCAAAATCAGCATTAATGAGAGAGCCCAAAATCAGCATTAATGGGGGCACTGAGAGCCCAAAATCAGCATTAATCAGAGAGCCCAAAATCAGCATTAATGAGAGAGCCCAAAATCAGCATTAATGAGAGAGCCCAAAATCAGCATTAAGGAGAGCCCAAAATCAGTGTTAATGAGAGAGCCCAAAATCAGTGTTAATGAGGGCACTGAGAGGTAATGAGAGAGCCCAAAATCAGAGTAAACGAAGGCACTGAGAGCCAAAAATCAGCATGAATGAGAGAGCCCAATATCAGCATTAATGGGGGCACTGAGAGCCCAAAATCAGCATTAAAGAGAGCCCAAAATCAGCATTAAAGAGGGCCCTGAGAGCCCAAAATCAGCATTAATGAGAGCCCAAAATCAGCATTAAGGAGAGCCCAAAATCAGTGTTAATCAGAGAGTCCAAAATCAGCATTAATGAGAGCCCAAAATCAGTGTTAATGAGAGCCCAAAATCAGTGTTAATGAGAGCCCAAAATCAGCGTTAATGAAGGCACTGAAAGCCCAAAATCAGCATTAAAGAGAGAGCCCAAAATCAGCATTAATGAGGGCACTGAGAGCCCAAAATCAGTGTTAATCAGAGAGCCTAAAATCAGCATTAATGGGAGCACTGAAAGCCCAAAATCAGCATTAAAGAGAGAGCCCAAAAGCAGCATTAGTGGGGGCACTGAAAGCCCAAAATCAGCATTAATGAGGGCACTGAGAGGTTAATCAGAGAGCCCAAAATCAGCATTAATGGGGGCACTGAGAGCACAAAATCAGCATTAATGGGGGCACTGAGAGCCGAAAATCAGCATTAAGGAGAGAGCCCAAAATCAGCATTAATGGGGGCACTGAAAGCCCAAAATCAGTGTTAATCAGAAAGCCCAAAATCAGTGTTAATCAGAGAGCCCAAAATCAGCATTAATGAGAGAGCCCAAAATCAGCATTAATGAGAGAGCCCCCATATCTGGCCTTGTGCCCTGTCCATGGATAACCAAATCCCAGAATCCTGGGAACAAAGTGCTGACAGCATTCCTGGCTTATCCCTTCCCACTGGAAAGGAAAACCCAAAGCAAGGGGCTCCCTTCTGGTGAATTGATATAAAAAATGGGAAATTCCAAGGGAAAAAAAAAATGCTCAACACATCTGCAAGGGGAACGTGGAATTGGCTGAGGCATTTCAAAGTTCTGCATTCCTGGAGAGATGGAAGCAGATTATTTGATGGTTTTTTAATTAAACTCCTTGATTATTGTTACCATGAAGGGCCAGCTCAGCTGTTCCAGGCTCCTTTGGTATAAATACAAATAACGGGCTCTGTTGTGGCTTTTCAAGGCAAAGTTTTGTTGCAAAAGGCATCAAAAAGAGCAGCTGGAGGCAGAAATCCTCCAGAGGAACCTCACTCCTTTAAAAGGGATTTGCTAAATTTCCAAGGAATTGCCTGCAAGGTTGCTGGAAAATGTTGAAAAAATAAAACCAATAAACCCCAAGCTGTATTTGTGCCTGAAAATAAGTTCATTTCTGTGTTATACTATTATTTAAATATTCCCCGCTGGCCATTTTGCCCATCTATAATTTCATTTACGGGAGAGAAGACAGCACAAATCTACAAGAAATTTGTGCTTTTTGCCTGTGAAACTTCAAAACACAACTGAGAGTGAATAAACATTCACACCCAGGCACGAACCTAACAGAAAAAATAAAATAAATCAGGCTTGGCCAGAGAAGTGGAGTTCACTGTGGGAGCAGGAAAAAGCTACAAGGACAGGAGTCAGGTACTTACTGCTTTCACCATTGTGTCAAATTCCTCTTGAGAAATGAAATAATAATCGAATCTGTTTTCTTCCCCAAAATAAGCTTCCCTGGTGGTGTGGCAGGGCCTGGGAGATTGATGGGATAATAAAGAAATAACCTGGTTTCAATCCCTGCAGCAGCTCTGGAATAGTGGGAGTTGGGGGGTGCAAAACAGGGAAACTAGAAATAATTTTATTTTTAAGCAGCAAAGAAATACGAGAAATAGAAAGAGGTGCAAATCACACCCCTAAATGCTGCGTGTTTGAAAGATGAACCCATAAATACACCAAAAAAAGTTAAATGTAACGTGGTGTTTTGGCTGTAAATCCCTCCCCAGCCCAGGCTGGCACTGAGAAATGATGAACCCATTTTATTTTATTTTTTTTTTCCCCAATTTTGTCAGCTTGGGGATGATATAAAGTCAAATCCTGAATGTGGAAAAGGAGCTGGGCTGAACTGTGAGGTTAAGAAAGAGCTCAAAAAGTCCAATTTTTAAACAGATGCCTAATGGGAAGGGGAGAGACAATCCTGAAAATGGGGAGAAAAGTGGGATAAAAGGCAGGGAAAGTAAAAATTCAGCTACCTCGGCTTCACACCAGGATAAAACACTAAAAAGCCACCAAAATTCCCCCCCAAACCCAGCTAATTAATGCAGGTAGCAATTTAATACTGAAGAATTCACTTAGTCTGGTTCTGTTTAAAAATCAGATTTTTTTTTCCTTTTTTCTGCTTTGTCTTTGAGGTGGAAAAAAAGGGATGGAGGGATAAACCTCAGCTACCTGAGCTTCCCACCAGGATAATGCACTAAAAACCCATCAAAAATACCCAAAAAACAGATAATTAATGCAGGTAACAATTAGAGCCTGAAATATTCATGGGCTCTGGTTCTGTTTGAAAAGCAGATTTTTCTTCTCATTGCCATTAAAGAGGGAAAAAAAGGCTGGGAAAGGAATTCCCTGCTATCCCAGAAGGATAAACCTCAGCCACCATGGTGAAACACTAAAAAAACCCAAAAAATCCCTAAAAAAACCCCAAAAATCCCACAAAAAACCCTCAGTTAATTAATGCAGGTGACAATTTGAGCCTAAAGTATTCAGTTGGTTCAGGTCTGTTTGAAAATCAGATTTTCCTCCTCATTTCTGCTTTGCCAGGAATTCCCTTCCATCCCATAAGGACAAACCTCAGCCACCAGGATGAAACACTAAAAAACCCCAAAAAATCCCTAAAAAACCCCTAAAAAAACCCCCAGTTAATTAATGCAGGTAACAATTAGAGGCTGAAATATTCACGGGCTCTTGATCTGTTTGAAAATCAGATTTTTCTCCTCATTTCTGCTTTGCCATTAAAGTGGGAAAAAAGGCAGGGAAAGGAATTCCCTTCCATCCCATGAGGATAAACCTCAACCACCAGGATGAAACACTAAAAAAACACTAAAAAACCCCAAAAAATTCCCTAAAAAAACCCCTCAAAATCCCCCAGTTAATTAATGCAGGTAACAATTTGAACTTGAAATATTTACAGGCTCTTGTTCTGTTTGAAAATTAGATTTTCCTCCTTGTTTCTGCTTTGCCATTAAAGTGGCATAAAAGGCAGGGAAAGGAATTCCCTTCCATCCCATAAGGACAAACCTCAGATACCAGGATGGAACACTAAAAACCACTAAAAAACCCCCAAAAATCCTTAAAAAAACTGCCAAAAAACCCCAGTTAATTACTGCAGGTAACAATTTGATCCTGAAGTATTCAGTGGGTCTGGTTCTATTTGAAAATCAGATTTTTCTTCTAATTTATCCCAGGGAGCTGAGCTTGAAACCATTAAAAATTCAATGTCAGCATCAGAGGGTGGCACTTTTTTCCCCCCCAAAAAATGAGAGCAGCCAGTTCCACACGGGCTCTGTAAAATTCCCTGATTTTTTCTGGGATAACACAAAACACACCCAGCTCCAAAGGTCACCAGCCAGATGGTTGGAGGGGCCAATTTCACTCCATTTCCTGCGATTTTTACACATTTCAGCCCTTTTTAATTGTTTACATTCAGCCTGCCAGAGTATCTTGCATAAAATCCATTTTTAACGAGCAGAATGTTTTGAAATTTCCAGGCAGAAAATTGCTGAAATCTCCCCTGAATAATTAAAAATACAACTTTGCTTTATGGTTGCAATTTTCTGCTCTGTTAAGGTTCTGTCTATTCCTTTTTTTTTTTTTTTAAATTTTCTCATTCATGGAAGTTGTAGGGAATAAAACACACAATGTAAAAATGCTCTTTATTAAAAAAAAAAACAACAAAAAATACCCTCGCAGAATGTTTGGAAAATTTCAAATGGAGTTGAATTTGTCATTTCTAAAATATGGGTTTAAATAAAAGGAAAAAAAAGAACTTTTACAGTGGCATAATAGATTTTTCCCTTAAAAAAGAAAATTAATGCATAAATTACTGCCATAAAAATGGGAAAAAAGGGGATGCAGAGCAGGTTTTTTGGGTTGTAATTTCTTTTTTATTTTTTATTTGGTTTATTTCTTTTTATGTTTGTTTTTATTTTATTTGTTTGGGGTTTTTTTGGAGGTTTTTAAGGGGTTTTTGTGGGGTTTTTTTGGTTCTTCTTGGGTTTTTTGTTTGCTTGGTTTTGGGGTTTTTTGTTTGGATTTTTTGGGGGGTTTGGGTTTTGGTGTCTTTTTTGTTTTGGTTTGTGGGTTTTTGGGGATTTTTAGTTTTTTTTTTATTTTTTCTATTTTGGTCTGTGAGGTTTTTTTGCCTTTTTTTTAGGTTGGTTGGTTTCTTTTCTGTTTTGGTTTCTGGTTTTTATATTTGTTTTAGTTTTTTGATTCTTTTTTTGCTGTTTTGGTTTGTGGTTTTCATTTGTTTTGTTTAGCTTGTTTGTTTTGTGTTTTGGTTTGTGTTTTCCTTTGCTTGTTTATTTTATTTTCTGTTTATTTGCCGTCCACCTTTAAAATAATCTGATAATTTAAATAACTTTCCTCTCATTAACTTCAGCCAGTCAAGCCTTGAGAAGAGACAAAAACACAGCAAAATTCTCTGTTTTTAACTTCTTAACCAAAAAACACCCCACAAACCAAACCAGCAACAATTCCAACCTCAATCCTTTGGTGGTTTTTTTTAACCTCAGGGTGCAGAACTTACCCAAATCTGAAGAAATTCTTGAATTTTCTGCAGATTTTGAGAGAAAGTTGCCTCCTGCCACCGGCCACGGGGCCCAGTAACACCAGCATGGGGTAGGGCTGCTCAGAATCAGGCAGAGTGCTGCAAGAAAGGACATTAAATCACCTTAAAAATCAAATTTCAGCAGCTTTTTAGACAGCTCTGCAGAGATTTTATCACCCCTTCAACTCACCTCACCTTGTTCACAGCGTAGACAAAAATTGGGGTGTTCTGAATGTAAAAATAGCACAAAAATCTGCATTAAAGACTCTTTTTCAAAAGGAATAATGTTATTTTTACTCTGATTTGCAGCCTTTTCTAAAGAGCTGGGATTTTTTTTTTTTTCCCAGAGGTGGGAATATTTTAATGAGCAGGATAACTGGAATAAATCTGGAATAAACTGAATCCTACAGATTTTTCCACTCTCCTGCAGGACTTTGTTGACTTCCATGTCCTGTGCCAGGTGAAGGTGTAAAAATTCTTCAATTAAATATAAAAAACCCACTCAGATCCTTAAAACTTCACTGAACAAAATAAAACCACAAAAAAAGGACCCAAAGTGCTGCAAAAGTATGAAATTCTCCATTTTTCCACGTTGGATTAAATCCTTGGATTTAATCCTTGGATTAAATGTTGGATTAAATCCTCGGATTTTCCACTTCCAGCTGCAAGTGGAAGAATGAAGTAAAACCAGAATTTTAAATTAATTTTTTTAAATTCATTTTTAAATCTCAGGTAGATTTTAAGATTAGGCCACTTGGAAATATAGCAGGAATAACCAAGATGATTACAACCCAATGATTTTTAATTAATAAGTAGTTTAAACTGAATTTGAAGTGAAAGGAAACTTCTTCTGTGTTCATTGAATGGGATTTTAAACAGGTGAACAAAGACACCTGAAAAGAGAATATATTTCTAATATACTATACATATATTTCTAGATTATATATAATTTAGAATGCATTTATATTTTATAATATATTTATAAAGGAGAATATATTTATTTTAGCATCCCTCTCACAAAGAACTCATTCTTTAAGAAATAAGGACAGCATTCCAACATAAGCAAGGAGGAAAAAAAATCCAAAATCGTGGCTTTATTCCTATTTTAGGAGCAGCACAGCAGCTCTGTTCCCTACCAGAGTCCATGGATATAATTAGCACAAAAAGCTGATTAGCACAATACATTAAAATCCTGCAGAAGGTAAAAATACACTTTAAAAATTCATTCTAAAAAAACCATTTCAAAAGTGAGAAAAAAGCTGAAGGGTCCAAAATTGATCAGGATGTTGCAGAAAGGTTTTTTGTTTTTTTTTCTATCTCAAGTTATCAGATTTTGTGAATATTCCTGGCAAGGCAGGGCTGGGAAAACAGAACTTTTATTTTCCACATAAAATCCTGGAACGGGGTGGGTTGGATGGGAATTTAAATCCCATCTCATCCCAAACCTTCCCAACATTTTCCACTATTCCAAGGTTGCTCCAAGCTCCATCCAGCCTGGCCTTGGACACTTCCAGGGATGGGGAATTTTTTGGGAATCCTGTGACAGGGCCTCCCCAATCCTTAAAAGAAAGATTTTTTTCCTTCTCCCTGCACAGGATCTGTTCCAGGCTTGGAAAATGCAGAATTCCTCTGGAATCTAAAATTTGGGGGTTCCGACTGCTTGGAAGAAGATTCTGGAAAAGCTTTGGGCTCATAATTCAAATTTCTTTGTGTTTGTTGGCACTGCTGTGAAAAAATAATCAATTTTAAGGCAAAGTAGATTATTTTGATGGTCTGAACCATCATCTTCCCCTCATCCCACATTCCCCAAGTTGGTTCCTGTCTCAGGACTGGAAAATGCAGAATTCCTCTGGAATCTTTCCTTCTACGAGGAAATGTTGCACCAAATAAATCATCCCTTGATGAGATCACGCTCAAAACTCAAATTCTCTTCAATAAATTCCCAGTTCCCCACGTTCTCAGACTCCTGGGATTTATGATTTCATCGGGAGAACGTGGAGAACATTTCCATCATCCTCTCTTTCATCACATCACCACTTCTTGATTCTCAACACTAAAAGTGTCGGGCGTTCTACAGCTTGGAAGAAGATTCTGGAAAAGTTTTGGGCTCATAATTTAAATTTCTTTGTCTTTGTGGGCACTGCTGCGAAAGATTAATAAAATCAGTGAGATCACACTCAAAATTCAAATTCCCTTCAATAAATTCCCAATTCTCCCTGTCCTCAGATTTCTGGGATTTACAATTTCACCTGGAGAATATTTCCATCATCGTGTCTTATCACATTGAGAATTCCTTGATTCTCAACACTGAAAGTTTGGGATTCCTTCAGATTGGAAGAAGATTCTGGAAAAGCTTTGGGCTCATAATTCAAATTTCTTTGTGGGCACTGCTGTGAAAAATTAATCAATTTTAAGGCCAAAAGGGATTATTTTGATGATCTAAATCATCATCCCACTTGGAATTCCCCAAGCTGGTTCCTGTTTCAGGCTTGGAAAATACAGAATTCCTCTGGAATCTTTCCTTCTACGAGGAAATGTTGCACCAAATAAATCATCCCTTGATGAGATCACGCTCAAAACTCAAATTCTCTTCAATAAATTCCCAGTTCCCCACGTTCTCAGACTCCTGGGATTTATGATTTCATCGGGAGAACGTGGAGAACATTTCCATCATCCTCTCTTTCATCACATCACCACCTCTTCATTCTCAACACTAAAAGTGTCGGGGGTTTCTACAGGTTGGGAGAAGATTCTGGAAAAGAGTTTTGGGCTCATAATTAAAATTTCTTTGTCTTTGTGGGCACTGCTGTGAAAGATTAATAAAATTTAAGGCAAAATGGATTATTTTGATCATCTGAACCATCATCCCCTCATTCCACTTGGAATTCCCCAAGTTGATTCCTGTTTCCAGCCCAATACTTGGGTTTCCATGAGCTCATCTTTGAATTAAAAACCTTCCAGTTGTGGAGAACTCTTGGTAAATTGTTCCAATGATTAATTATTTTAATTGTCAGAAAGAATCATGCTCTGGTCCTTCTCTGAATGGGTTCCTCATCAACAGCCAGGTACCAAAAATCATCCTGTCCTGGCCCAACAGACTGGAAATGAAATTAAATTCTGTTGTCACTCTGAGCAACATTTTCAAATGTCACCTGCATTTCTAGAAGGGGAAAATACCCATAATATTCACTGGTGTGTTACCACATAATTACAGATTAAATCACAAATTGAGAGCGTGAAGAAAAGAATAGGAAATTCAATGTTTGGTGCCTGCAGGACAGGCAAGAATAAAAACTTTTCACTTTGTTTTCAGGTTTGATTTGCAATAATGAAGATATCACTAACCCAGAATTAATTATAACCTGATGGAGAAAGAGAGATGCAAACGAACTCCCCCAATCTGGTTCCAAAAAGCATTTTAGGGTGGAAAGGGCAATAATCATTAGGAAGATTTCATTAATGACTCTGGGGTGCTTTCCAGCTGAGCACGAGCCAACCTTCCAGGCATCATTAACAATTTTTGGGGCTGGGCTGATGTTTTTGTGTTTGTGTGCACAATTCCTCTGGCAGAAGGCAGAATTCCTTCTTTCCATCAATCCAAAATCCACTAAGCAAATATTTAAATACAGCCCTGGGGAAAAAAAAATAAAAATCTGTGCCTTGAGGGTTTTTTTTTAAGAAGGAAAATAAGCCAATTTTGTGGGTTTATTTTAAGAAATCTCCATCCCTGCAAAAATAAATAAATCTTTGGGGTTTTGCTTTTAAAAGAATTCTCAGAGCTGTTGTCACTACTGGGAAGGCTCCTGTTTGTTGTGGATGATCCCAGAAAACAGAGTCACAATAAAAATACAAATTTCTGAGTTATTAAATCCTGGATTTTTTCCATCAGGTTACTCAGTTATGAATTCATTCAGCACCAAAACAGGGTGTGGGGTACAAAGGTTGACCTCACTGTCCAAAATAATAACAATCCACATTTATTTATAGTGTATTCCATCAGATTACGTGGAAAAATTTTCCAAGAATTCCTCAAATATCACAACACAGCTGTAGAGCAGCAAAAATTCCATTTTTCAGAGGAGAAACGAGACTGGGAGAAGTCACCTGGGAATGGTGAGACTGGAAAAAGAGCATCCACCTGCCTCTCCCTTCCATGATTTTCATGGAATCATCTCCTCCTTCCAGTAAAACACGGAAATTTCCCCTTAATCCCCAAATCCCCAAAATAAATGCCCCAAAATCCCCAAATAAAATCATTTTATCCCAACAGGATGCCAGCAGTGGAGAAAGAATCGCCGGCAGAAGGGGAAGGAGAAGTTTTGCAGCTCTCTGCTGCCTCCAGGGATTTTTCCAGTTCTTTTGGACACAGGGAGGAATTTTGCATCTCTCATTTGTGGTGCAAATGCCCATCTGCTCCAACAGATTGAGGAGAGGGAGTGGAGCTGTGGACAATCTGTCTCAGACTTTAGAGGTGAATGAAGAGCTTCGTTTCATCATCAATTTGAACCAAATCAGATTTGCCTCCTTTCCAGGCCTGCTGACAGAATCCTGCAGGAGTTCTCCCCGGGAAAAATGTCCCTCTGAACGTGACAAAATTCTGCTTTACTTGAGTGCCACCGTCAGGAGCAGCTGTGAAATGAATGAACTCACCTGGGCAGGACTTCCTGGGGCTGCTGAGCGTTGTACAAAATCTGAATCCTGTGATCTTCAGCAGCCACGACTTCTGGAGGAGGGTCCTCTTTATTCACAGCAGCCACCTGCTCCCAAAATTTAGAGTGGAGGGGAGGGGAAAGGAAGGGGAGGAGTGATGGAATTGTTCTCAGGTGCAAAACTCTTGGCTGATCACCAGGAATAAGGATGGCTTTGTGCTGCTGAGGGTCAGGCTTGGTGCTGGGCTTGGCTGGGAGCAGAAATTTGGGGATGGATGGATGATTTGAGGGATGGATGGATGGATGGATGGATGGATGGATGGATGGGTGATTTGAGGGATGGATGGATGGATGGATGGACGGATGGACGGCAGCCAGACACATCTCACCATCTTTAATATAGACAACCCTTCCCTAATGAAAAGAGGATGCCACATAGGATGCAAAAGCAGGTTTTAATTATCCATTAATTTGCATCCTCTCAGTGCTGGTGGAAGGGGCCAAACCCAAACCCCTGGGGACTGAAGCCACTCGTTTGTTACAGGGTGGGCATTAACAAATTCAGCAAACTCCTGACAATGCGTTCCCGTCTTTCCTGAGGGAGGGAGAGCACTCAGACTCCAAGGATTCCCTCCATCCATCCTGCTGACCACTCATGAGTTGTGTATTTTGGGGGTTATTAAGGCCACACACTCAGAAATGGGCTAAGAACGACTGAGGCAATTCCAATGGGACGCAAGACATAAAATTTCCACAGTGAGACCAATCAGCCTTTGGAATAATCAAGAGGAGGTTGGGACAATCTGGGATGGTGGCAGGTGTCCCTGCCGTGGCAGGGATGGGACTGGATGGACTTTGAGGTCCCTTCCAATAAAAAACGTCCTGGATTCCATGAGAATTTCCCCAGGGAAATAATTGGTGAATTCACCAGTTGGTGGATTCACCAATGCTGGTCACTTTTAGGATTTGGCTGGGCCATTTGGGATTGCCTATGCTTTTCCCAAGCAAGGTTGGGCCAGACAATCCATGCCTGGACAATCCATTTCCAGCCTGGAATGCCATGGCTGTGTGGCAGCCGTGCCTGTATTAATCAGCCAGCAGCAGGAGGAAATAGGAGGGGAAATATTCAGTGCTCAGAACTCCACGTCCCCATGTTCAGGGGAAAGCAGGAGGAGGGAAAAAATGTTAAAAATAAATAAAATAAAAAAATAAAATTAAAATCTAATTTAATTTTAGCTGTAATTTGGCCCTTTGCTCTGAATTAGTGGCTGGGAGCACAGTGGGTGCATCCTGGTGCACATCAGACTATCCTAAAGGAAGGATTATTATTAATATTATTAATATTGCAAGACTATTCCACAGTGAGACCCAAACATGGTGAGTTGGACAAGCAGGAATTCCAATTCCAAACTCCTCTCCTGATCTAACCCACATTCCTGTACATCCATTTTGTGTTAGTGAGACACAGAGCTGCTGCCTCCAAATTCAGTTTGCCAAGAGAATCTTGAGGCTAGAGGAGGCATCCTAAAATAACATAAGGAGAGGATTTTGTGGAACAACTTTTATCCCTCATAAATTAATTGCTGGTCTAAACCAGTCACTCAGGTTCATTTTTACAGTCCATTGAAGGGAAAAATTTCATTGATATATTCAAAATTATATTGAGAGGAAAACAGAATGGCACATAAGACAAAGATTGAGATCAACATTTTGGGTAGTTGGGGAAAATTATACTCTGGTATCATCATCTGTGCTCAGGATGGAGAGAGCCTGGCACTAAACAAGAACCCCAAAATTTATACAGATGAAGCTGGGAGTGATGGATTTCCTGAAGGGATTGCTTTGAAAGGATAATTCCCTGAATTACAGCAGTTCCAGCATGGCTTGAGCCCACTGGGAAGGCTCCTGTTTGTTGTGGATGATCCCAGAAAACAGAGTCACAATAAAAATACAAATTTCTGAGTTACTAGATCCTGGATTTTTCCATCAGGTTACTCACTTGTGAATTCATTCAGCACCAAAATGGAGTGCAGGGCACAAAGGTTGATCTCAGTGTCTGCTGCAGCCAATATAATAACAATAATAATAATCCACATATATTTATAGTGTATTACATCAGATTATGTGGAAAAATTTTCCAAGAATTCCTCAAATATCACAACACAGCTGTAGAGCAGCAAAAATTCCATTTTTCAGAGGAGAAACGAGACTGGGAGAAGTCACCTGGGAATGGTGAGACTGGAAAAAGAGCATCCACCTCTCCCTTCCATGATTTTCATGGAATCATCTCCTCCTTCCAGTAAAACATGGAAATTTCTCTTTATAAACATAAAATGTGCCCCAAACAGCCCATGCAGCAACCAAATTCCAGCTCAGGCACCACAGCAGGGAAAGGTCTCCAATCCAACAGAATTTTTGTCAAACAGGATTTTGGGGGAGGAGGTTTGCTACAACTGCAAGCCTGGATTTTGTATTGTTTATTTAGAAAACTTCCAGAATGAAATGATGTTTGCTTACCTTTTCTTCCACTGAAACCTTCTTGAGATCCAGATCCGTGACTTGGAGCAACATGAAAATCGCTGAGAGCCAATAACCATCTTTTTCCTGAAGGGAAAAAGTTTCCATTTTGACAAAAAATACTTAATTTCATCCAGCTAATATTGAATTCCAATCAGCTAAAATTAAATTTGCCTTAATACATTGCAAAATAAAAGGTTTTTTACCCTGAAGGGTGTTAAGACACTGCCCAAAGTGACCCTTCACAACTGCAGCAAGAGCTGAGTTGTTCAAAAGTTTGTAACCACAACATTCAAAAGGCCAAGATGGGAATTTAAAAATGGAAAGGGATTTGATCAGACTTTGTTTAGGAGAAGGACATCTCAGCAGGAAAAGCTTTTCAGATTATGGAAAATCAGGAACAGGCTGTTTCAGGTACTTTTTCCTGCTAATTTCATTGTGTGCCACGACAGACCAGTCTTAAAAAAGCCAATAAAATCCTGGCAATTATAAGGAAAAAATTAAACTCTTTAATATTTTTCTTTTTTCTGGCATTGGGAATGACTGTAAAATTCACACAAAATTTAGAAATCACAAGGGTTGGGATAGAATTTTCTTTGGTCACTCAGGACAAATGACCTGCCCACTTCTAGAGACAGAAACTGAGGCTGAAAGGATTCAAACCAACAGGTTTAGGGTCTCATTTTTGCTTCTTTCTTACCTGTAGAGGGTTTTTTAGAAGATTTAAAACCCTGAGGAGAGGCAGATCTTCAATCCATTTAAGCTCACTCAGCTCAGCCACCTGGGACAGAAACAGAGCATAAATCAGCAGCAACAGAACCCAAGAGAACTAGGCAGGCAAAATGAAGTATTTTAATGGCTGCTCTTCAAATCTGGGCATAAAAAAAATAATTCTAAATTACAGAAGGAGTTTACATGTTAACTGCCCTCAATGAGGCACTTCCAGGCACAAAAGGAGACAACTTGGCTGTTAGCTGGAGCAGCAGGATAATCCATACAGCAATTTCCAAGCACCTGCATTTTTCCAGTTCTTTCAAATGTCAAGCCCTAACACTTTTGGCTTTTTATGTGCTGATGTGCTGGAGTGAGGCAATTCTGCAGTTAAATTCGTGCTCTGGCTGGGTGGTTTAAAAAGAATAAAATCCTTCTGAGAGTTTCTTTTCGCTGAAGTTCAAGTTCATCCTACAGAACTTGGTTAAAAAAGGAGCAGGATTTTTGTCCTTGGATGTGTCCAGAGGGATAAATCAGGGGGTCAAGAGGGTCCAGCCTATTTGGGGTCTCAGCCGTGCACAAAGGAAAGGTGGGCACTCCGTTTTTGGGGTCAGTCAAGGTTTGTGTGGCCCAAACCAACCTGGTTTTCTGCTGAAAGATGGAATCAGAGAGTGGAATGGGTCGGGTTGGAAGGACCTACAAACTTTGAAACCCATCCAGTGCCACGGGCAGGGGCATCTCCCACTGTCCCAGTGCCCAGCCTGGCCTGGGACATTCCAGGGATCCAGGGGCAGCCCCAGCTGCTCAGGGAATTCCAGCCCAGCCAGGAATTCCACCCCCAAATCCTATCTAAATCTCTCCTTTTTCAGTATAGAACCATTCCCTTTTCTCCTGTCTGTGTTTTGCCATGGAAAATCCTCTCTCCATCTCTTTCATAGCCCCTTTCAAATCCTGAAAGCCCAACTGAACCTAAAAACCTCCAGATTCTCCCTAATTCATACTCAATCCTTTTAAAGTGCCTAAAAACATAAACCTCAACCACAGCCCGCTCTACACTCACTTTGAGATAATAACCCCACCCAAGTCAGTTTTGGTGAAGTTAAATGTGATTTGAGTCGATTTCTTAAACAAATCCCAGAATTCCAGCCATCAACAATTGGAAATCACTCAATGTTTACAAGGGACACATTTGCAGCTGAACCTGTTGTGGGCATTTTTTAAAAAACCAAGAATTTAAGATCATTCTGAGTGGTCGTGAGCTGAAGTAACTGCATGTGTTAATTAATTAAAACTCCCCTTTAAATTATTCTTGTTCAAAAAAAAAAAGGTTCAAAAAACATTCAAAAAACTCATTGAACGGTATCAATGACATCATTCAAAGATGCAAGTTTTGATGAAGTAAAATTAAGAGTTTTTATGTGCTGCAAAGAACAGTGGAAAATAAATAAGGCACTGGAAGTGGTGTTATTAATGTTAATAACAAGCACACCATTAGAGAGTTTCCTGTCTGCTGCAATTGAGGCACCTTTAAATGTCAACCTGAACACAGGCAGGAAAAGAATGCACAGTGACTTGAATTAAATCCACTTGCAAGGAGAGAGAAAAATGACAGAAAATGTTCCACTGATGCTTTATATTTTTGTTTTCTTAGATTATAATTTCTTTTTTCACATGTCTTTGATGTCAAAGTGATTCATGAATTGATTTTTTTTTTTCAGTTAAGGATGCTGGAAGATCAATACCAAAATTATTGCGGATATTTGGCTTGGCATTCAAAATTCAAAAGAGTTGGATGGTGCCATTATTTCCAGTACAGAAAATTATGCTGCATAACAAAATCCACGTTTAAGAGAGTCCTTGCAGTTCTGCTTTGCAGGGAGTTTCCAGCTGAGAGCTCAGAAGAATCTGTGGTCATAAAATTGGGCTGAGAGATTTTAACAACCCCCCCTGAGGCCTGGCAGCAGCAGAGCTGTGGTGTAAGTAAAGATCTGGAATAACAGAGGTGGAAAATCTGCAAACTCATCCCTGCCCGACCCACCCAGGGGAGCAGTGCAAATTACCAGTGTGTGAGCACTGAAGTGGGACCTGAGTGAAGAGAAAGCCACCTCAGAAATTAAATAAGGGCTGAGAGGACACCAGGAATCGACGTGGGAAACACCAAAAGAAAAGATCTCAGCTTTTCTAATATTCATTCCTTGCACTGCTGGAGGATTTTTGGAGCCCTTCAAGGAATTGGGTGTTAAAAAATGAAAATATTCTGTGGTGTTAGAAGAAGCTGAGCTGGTACCTGGTTATCCTCCAGGTTGATCATCTCCAGTAGGTCGTGCTCCTCCAAGCCTTGCAGATTGTTTATTTTATTGTTGGACAGATCCACCCACTGCAGATTTTTCAAGGTCTTCAGCCCATTCACCTTCTCAATCTGGTTAAAGCTCTAGGACAAAAACATGAAAGCAGAGAAACTGCAAATAAACCTCTATGAAAAACAACATTCCTGAGGGGAAAAAGGAGTTATTTGTTGGATTTGAGGAGTTTTTGTCGTGGAGAATCCTGTCAAAAATAGGCCTTTCTGCATTAGCCTCATGCACATCCTGATGTGTTACATTTTCGGATAAATCTCTATGGAAAACAACATTCCTGAGGGGAAAAAAAAGTTATTTGTTAGATTTGAGGATCCTTTCTGGTGGAGAATCCTGTCAAAAACAGGCCTTTCTGCATTAGCCTCATGCACATCCTGATATGTCACATTCCTCCTCATGGAAAAAAGGAATCAATTTTCTCCTGATTAGCTTAACTCCAACTCACCTTGAAGAGACAACAAGCAATAAAAAGAGCTCTAACATTTTTTAAAAACCGATATTGGCCCAAGAACACACTTGTCACCATCCAGCTCAAAATTTAGAATACAGAGATGCATGGAAAATTATGGAATATATATACATAAATACATTGAATTTCCCTCTGTAATCATGGCTCTATTTACACTTGTGATTACAGAATAAATAATGAAAAAATTAAGGTAGGATAGAGAGGATAGAGGGTTGGGAATGCGGTCCCTTCCCACCCAAACCATTCCATGGTTCCATGACTCCCTCATACGATACCAAAATCTCTCTGGAATACATAAATCCACATTAACACACATCAAGTGAAGGCTCCATTCACTGTCAGCGACAGCACAGAAATGTTTAGAAAATAATAATTTTAAAAACCCAAATCTTCCTGTAAAACTTTCCAGACTTTCCCACACTAAACACCCCAAATTTTCGAGAACCAACCCTCAAGAGTTTTTTCCAACGAAGCCCTGATTTCTCACTGGCCTCCAGATGGTTTCACTCCTCAGGGCCTCACAAATCCAAGACTCATTTCTGCCCCAAATTCCAAGCAGGGATAACAATTCCCTGCTCATCCCTGTCCCACACATTCCCAGATGGCTTCTCCACAGGATTCTTCCTCCATAACCTTGCAAATTTTATTTTTCCATCAGCCTCACCTTGCGCTAAAAGCTTGGAAGCCTCATCTCCTATTAATAAATATTTAGGAACTGTTGAAATAAATAAGCCAGCTGACTCTAATGTTAATCCAGTCGTCTGTCCTTGACATTTTTGCTGACTTTTAAATGTTTAATTAGGTTATTAATAGCACGGAGGCTTCGTCAGACCTCTGGTTGATCGGGTACAGCTCGGAGCTGGGATTGCAAAATGCTGGCCCAGAGGTGCCCAGAAAATTCTGTGAACAAAAGGGATTTGGGGATAGATCCTTCAAAAGCAGAAAATTCCTAAGGGTACAGTTATTCTTATTTTATTTTTTTTTCTTTGCAAACATGAGTGGAATAAAGGGGTTTTTGGTACAGCAAGGGAGAATTTACAGGTTTTGAAATGCTCCTCCCAAACTTCAGAACTTTCTGCTCTTTTCAACCTAAAAAGCCGAGAGAGAAAACTGAATTGCTGGGAAGAGAGAGGATAAAAAAAAATAATAAAAAGAACTGTATTTTATTTTAATTAATTCCAATTTTTAAAGAAAATTCCCAGCTGAAATATCTTTCCATAATTTCCACGTGGCTAATTAAAAAGACAAGCAGTGTTATCAATAGTGATATCAGCACCTAAGAACCCCAAATGAGGAATATGTTCACATTTAATAAGATTTAACTGTGAACAACCTCCCAACTTTGGACAGAGCAGATTCCCAAGGGAATTCCTGGTAGACCTTTAAGCAAACCAGGAAATCAGGGCGGTGGAGGGACTTGCTGTGGCTCAAATTTGGAGAAAAAAAAAATCAAAGTATTTAGAAAAAAGATCCTCAGAGTCCTAGAGCTCCTTTCAGAACATTTCCACGGGGTTTGGCCAATCTCAGTTCATCTTCCCCACTAAAAATGAGACCAAATTCCAATTTATTGCCACTGAGGGAGCTCCTGGAGGTGTCACAGATCTGAAATATAATTTTATTAACACCATTTGAATATATTAGAAATGGGAACACCTTCCCTGAATCCTGCAGCAGCCAAGGGCCAACCTGAGCTGGTATTTTCTACATCCAATTTTACAGAATGGAAGAAAAACCTTTAAATTTTTTAAAAGGATTGGAAAAGGAATATTCCTATTCCTGATAAGGGATTCATTCACTTCAAATATTTATGTGGGTGCTTAAAATAAATGTAGCCAATAGGAGCTCTGTATAGGTTTTTGGGGATTTATTTTTAAAGTCCCATTAAATATTTTTCACTTCTTATTACAAAGTAAAAGCTGTTGAAAAGCAGCCGGTTGCTTTTGGAGCCACTGGATTGTGTTAAAAATAGGTTTGGGTTGTGTTGCAGTGCAACATTTGTGTTATTAATTTAAAAAATGTGTGGTATTGCAGATATCCTGATAATTTGTTATGTAATTATTGATGTATTTATTATATATATATCATTATAATAATTATGTATTATATATATAATATATATAATATTATATATCATATATAATAAATAGCATATAATAAATATTATATATTGTATATAATGCACATTATACATAATATATATAATATATAATAGATGTTATTTTAAAATATTTTATTTATAAAATATTTTTATTATATATTATATATAATGCACAGTATACATAATACATATAATAGATATTATAGATGTTCTTTTAAAATATTTTATTTATAAAATATATAGTATATAATACATAAAATATAATAAAATATTATATTTATTATATATTTTATTATACCATATTGCTGGTTTGGAAATACATCATATAAAATATATACTATAAAATATGAAATAATATAAAATATTTTTATTACCTCCATATTTATTACGTTATATTTATTATTTACATCAAAGTATTGATCTCTGGATAAGAGCCAGGCAGGAAAACCATCCGAATGATTTCTTTCTTACCAAATTGAGGATCCTGATGGGCAAATTCTGCAGGCCCCTGATGGCAGCGAGCCTGTTGTGTGACAAACCCAGCTGGGTCAGGCTGTGACACTCCTCCAGCCCCCTGATCTCCTCAATCTCATTAACTGTGCAGAGCTTTAGGAAAAAGAACGAGCTGAACACCAAAGCTGAGCAGTAATTAGGTGAGAAATTAACAAATTGGGTTAATGGGTGGGGAGGTGGACGGGAAAGGATTTATCCTGAGGGGGTTTAAATCCCGCTGCTCCTACAGAAATTATTCAAGTTTTTATTCAAGTTGTGATTTTATGGGGCTAGTTCAGTTTAAATTATACCTGTTGTGTCCTGGCCATCTGTCCTGAGAGGAGAAAGTGTATTTTAAATTAGCATCACAGTTAAAACCAGCAGTACACATCATTAGAATTCCTCCCAGCAAACTTCAGCATTAACAGAACTCCTCAAATTCCCAAACAAAGAACCTCTGACAACAAATCCAGCTCCAATTCCTCCTTGAAATGGATGAAGTGACAGGAACCTGCCCAAAATCAGCTAAAACCCTGCCCCGGGACTGGGACTCTTTGGTGACTGGAGTCAGGCAAAAGTTTGAACCAGGAAAAATTAAAATTTAATCCACAAGCATCAACGTGAGGCAGCAAATTGCCCAACACTGAACAATAATAAATTCAATTTTAGCTTTTTCATGACTCATTATAAAGGATTGTCATTTATTTCTGGCCAAGTTGTGTCTCTCTCTCTGGTTTGGACAATTCCTCCCTTTAGAAAGCTAAAGGAGTACACAAAAAAAAAAAAATATAATGACCTGACCACGTGCATCATAATTCATTTAAAATAATAATTTAAAAAAAAAATTATTTATTTTAATAGAAATATTTTTAAAAAATAAAACAGGTGCCTTGTAAATTCCTTGTGTGGAACAAGCATTGGATTAATTTCATTAATGGCCAAGAGACAGAAAAATCTGCACCAACCTCCTGCCTCCTCCTTTTCAAGGAGCAGAGATTCAGGATGCAATTCCTGAAGGAAAAAGGAAAAGTTCTGGAACCCTCAGGAAACAATTGGAAGGTGGCAGAGCAACGTGAAGCTCCAGAAAGCACAGGAAGGAATTTTTAGGGAAGCCTTGGAAAAACGCTGAAAATTCAATTTACAAGCTCCTGATTAGCAGGTTTCTGCCAGGAAAATGTTCCAAAATCCACAAATTGGGATAAGGGTGGAAGTGGGGAGCAGAAAAACCTTTGCTCCGTGTGCTTCCCTCAAAAACTCCGGGAAGTTTTGAAAAAAAATTCTTAAATTCTTAAAAATCCTTAAAAATTCTCTTCATTTTCACTAAACAGCCTCGTCCTGCAGAATTAGTTGGGTCCAGGACGAAACAACAAATTCCTTTTTTATTTAAGTGTTCCAGGCTGATTCACTGTTAACATTTGGGATTTAAAATCAATAATAATAATTAATAATAATAATAACCTCTGTAAGGGACATCTCCCCTTTCCACTTGTCCATGACACAAAAAGGAGTTTTTGTGTTCCTCTAGCAGGAAAATCCCTCAAATTTGCCCACTTTTAACACCATCAATGCTTAAATTAAGCTCAGTCTCAGCACCAAAATTACAATTTTATCTCAGTTCTAAGGACAAAACTGACATGAAGGGGAAAACACAAAGAAAACTGGTATTTATTTGAAGAAATGGCAAAAAAAAATTAATTTTTCTCCCAGTCAAGATTCCCCAAAGGATACAATCCAGCAGGAGCTTGGTAAGTGAGTGGTATGCTGACAAATCTTTCATTTTTGGGATTTGATTGTGTGAAAAATCTACTTCCTAAAGGAAAAAAAGAGAGGAATTTGGGGTTATTTCTTCAGCACTTACTCTGGCTGGGAGTTTGTTCCACCCTCCCACCACATGCAGGGGTTCAGTGTGGAAGAAAATAAAAGACGTAAATAAAATACAAAGAAATTAACAAAAATATTAATAAAATGCACATAAAATATAAATAAATATACATATAAATATAAATAAAAGACTCAAACATTTGGAAAAGGAAAATGGAAAAGGAAAATGTGAATTGAGTACGAAAGAAGAATAAAAAAGGAATAAAAATTGACTTTTGCCTATGCTCAAATATGTCTAACTTAGATTCAGGAAATGGTTTTGAATTTAAACCTTTAAAATGTTGTTCAGGTTTGTTTTTTTCAGACTTACCCTGAGGTTTTTAGGTGCTTTAAAATCGAAATATGTGGTCAGTTGGTTTTTGGAAGCATTCAGCTCTACTAAATAAGGCATGTGACTGACACAGGAAAGATCTAGAAATGAAACAAAATGTCAAATCCTGCGCCTGAATGCAAAGATCATCACAGCAAAATGTGATAATTACATCCTGCAGCAATTAAGAGTCAATTTGGAGCTGCACGTTCAGGAAGTGATGCCTAAAATGCAGAAATCAGATATATTGACACCTTCTCCTAGAGGGAAAAAAAAATGGTTTATAAACCACAAAGAATAAATATCCAAGCTCGACATTTAATTTTCATTATGCCAGCTGACTTGCCTAGAAGCAAGAATTTATTTTTATATATTTATATATATTATACTATGCTATATTATATTACATTACATTATATTGCACTATATTACCCTATATTATATTACACTATATTCCATTGAACTATATATTACATTACATATATTATATATATTTACACTATATATATTATATAGTATATGTAATTACATATATTACATATATGTAAATGTAATAGAAGTATATATTATATACTTATATTACATATAAGTAATTATATGTAAATATATAATATTTATATATTTACATATAAGTAAATATATTATATACAGGGTTTAGCTTATATATTACATGTAAGTATATGTAATTATATATATCACACTATATATATTATATTTATTATACTCTACTATATTCTATTATACCATACTATACTATATTATAGTATATAATATTATACCATATTATACTATATTATCCTATATTATATCATATCATATTATACCATATCCTATTATATCATATTATACCATACTATGCCATATTATACTATATTATACTACATTATATTCTATCATACTATACTATATTATACTGTACTATACTATATTATCATATCATATTATATTACATTATGTTATATTATACCATATTATACTAAACTATACTATATTATTCTATATTATCATGCTATATTATATTATATTATACCATACTCTATTATATTATACCATACTCTGCCATATTATACTATATTATATTAGACTATATTATATTCTATTATATTATACTATGTGATACCATATCACCCTATACTATATTATCCTATATTATTATATTACATTACATTATATTACATTATATTACATTACACCATACTATGCCATATTATAGTTTATTTTATTATATTATACTATATTATATTCTATTATACTATACCATATTATACTATACCATATTATACTATATTATTGTATTATATTACATTATACCATACTATATTATACCATACTATGCCATATTATAGTTTATTTTATTATATTATGCTATATTATGCTATATTATGCTATATTATGCTATATTATACCACACTATGCCATATTTATTTTGCCATATTTTGCCATATTTTGCCATATTTTGCCATATTATCCTATATTGTTATGTTAGATTACACCATATCATACCATATTATACCATATGATATTATCCTACCTTAATTATATATGTATTATATTTTCACATATTGTTTTTATACCCACCTCTAGAACGACAGATTCACTCTGGCCTGAGCTGCCAATTAGTGGAGAAAAGCATTTAGGCCACGACTGAGGAGTAAATGAGTGGTTGCTATGGAAAAGTCCCTGCTCTGTTCATATCTGGCCTCCACAGGAAAAAATCTCTTATTAAAATGAGCAGGGAGAGGAGCTGCTTTACAAAAGTGCTGCTATTCTTGGACTGCAGCTCCTCGAGTGAAAGGAACTTGAGGGAAATGATGTGGTTGCCCCAGCACAGCTTATTCCACTTGATGTTAAATTAAAAAAAAAAAAATGAGAGAGAGAGAGGGAAGGAGCAGCTGATGGAATTCATCCCACTCTCTATCTGGCACCTTTTTGAATGTAAAAAATGTAATTTTTTCTTACCTTTTGTCACTCATGGAAAACCCTGACAAGGGAAAACTCAAGGCTGGGAAAACCAAACCAAGCATAACTTGAACATCCTGCCAAATCCCCACCTTCACCTTGACATATCTGCTGGGATTTTATCTCTGGGTAATAAACTGAGAGTTTGAGCTCATGTTCCCACTGATAAACACATGCTGGTCTTAATGGGCCGTGGATATTTGGGGGATTTTGGAGGAGATCAAGCCTGGCTCTGTGCAATGTTTGACACCATTAAAATGTCAGCCAGGCTTTGTGACACTGAAACTCCCTGGTCCAGTGCATTTCTCATCTGGAACTGCTTCACAAGGCAGGAATTTGTAGTTTATTTACTCCATACCATTAATTTTATTGGAGGAAAGCTCCATTTTCTGCAGGTGAATGTATCCAGAGAGAATGCTGATGTCACTCAAGTCACGACCCTGGAAAAGGGAAAGGAAGGGATTTTAATCATCATTTTAATAACTGGTTAATAACTCAGCTCACCCAAGGTCCCTCCAGCTGCAGCAGGACAAGGTGACATCTACAAAAAGTGATGTTGGAGCAGCCAGAAATGGAGAAAATGCCAAAAAAAAAAATACTTTGAAATAACAAAAAGAGAGCTGAAGTCAGGAAAAACACCAGGGAAACAAAACTGTGTTGAAATGGGAGGGACAACAGAGAGCTTTGAAAAGACAAAACCACTTCAACTTCCTGAATGCAGCATTTCCAGGGGATTTACACATTCCTCTACTTTTTTCCCCTCCAGCTGACTGAAGTAGGAAGATACATTTTTCACACTTGAGGAGTGGATAAGGAAAAAAAAATTAAAAAATCAAAATCAAACATTTCAGTGCTGATGTATTAAAAAAAAAAACAACAAAACCAACTCTCCACTCTGGCAGTCAGCAGGAGCCACTCTGACTCTTATCAAAGTGACAAAAATCTGCCTCTTGACATCTTGTTTTTTAACAAGCCTTTTTTTTTTTTGGATTTATTCTTTAATTCTGTCTAGTCTCTGTCCTAGCTCAGCCTTCCCAACCCATCAGAAGCACAGGTTCCATTCCCCAAGCCTGTTGAGCTCCCACAGATGATGGATGTTAACAGGGTGCTGCACCCCAAAATGCAGATTATTGGGAGCCCTTTCCACTTGTTCAGCACGAGTTGCTCTTCAGAGGAAAAGTCTTTGCCAAGAGGTTGCTTGACAGCCAGCACTAATGAGGAGATGAGCCCCTGGTTTGTGAAATTCCTGTCAGCTCCGAGGAGCTGCGGGACAACTGCTGATCTAGGCACCTGTCTGACCATTCAGAGTCCATCCACAAACAGCTTCAAAAACCACGAGATTTGACAAATCAAATTAAAACAGACAATAAATCATAATTAGACAACTTACTTCAAAGATAGAGTTTCACGCCTTAACTAAAAGAACTTTACAAAATAAGTTCATATACGTTGATTGTTACAGTGACAATATTAGTGATAGTGCCTTGTGTGCTTCACTGTACAAAACAATTGATAAACAAAGACATCAAAGAAGTTTTTTCTACTCAAGGGAGAGGGGGAAATGTGGGAAGTGGATTTGTAGAGAATTCCCAAAGCCTGACAGAGCTCACATCTGTATGCAAACTTTGAGATGAGAAATGCTGACTTAGGAATGGCCTGGAACAGCACAGACATTGCTGAGAGAGAAATGGAACTGGAAACAAGTTTCAAAGGGTGGCCTTGCAAATAAGACTGGATGCTTTGGAGAAACAGAACTGTGAAAGAGGCATTGGAGTGGCACCCACGAGGGGTAATTTTAAATGATTGGCTTTAGGGCATTTACAGCATGGTGTGGCTAAAGCTGATAGACCAAGAAACACTTATATCTTGTAATTAGAATATAATTGGCTTCTGATTGTGATGGGGTGAATTCTAACATCTGTATTGTCTCACCCTTCATATGAGACTGAAAATGGAATCAAAATTTTTAAAACTCCTCTCAGCTGCCCCATCTCTGGGTCAGAAAAGACCATAGTCCAATAGGGACCAAGATAAATAATAGAATAATTTCATTATAGCACGTAAATGTTACAGCAAATGAGAGCACAGAATAATTTCCACAAGGCAAAATATGAGGTGACATTTTGTGGTGTTGGGATTTAAAGCCCAGCAGGGCAGGCAGAGAAAATTCACACGTGTCCATGGGGCTTACTGGAGCTCAGGGCTGGGAATTTCAGCAGGAAATTGGGTTAATTTGGCCATACATGTGCCAATTTATCCTTAATCTTATATGGCCAGGAGCACTTGGCAGTGCTGGGTCAATGGTTGGAATCGACAATCTTCAAAGTGTTTTTTCCCAATCTAATTGATTCTGAGAGAGAGGGGGACAATCCTTGACCCTGTACACCACGGGGACGGGAGGGACCCTAAAAAGTCAGAAATGAGAAGTGCCGCCCTTCTTTCCCCCACATCCACACCGAGGAGGGAAAGAGCAGTTCTCCCCCATGCACACACCCCTCCCCAGACAGCTGGGGAACCCTGGGCTGAACCTCCGAGCGCTCCGACTCTTCCTCCTCCCGCTCATCCTCGCCGTGAGGCGGACCGGGCCGGGGCTGCTCCTCGGGGAGCCCCTCAGCGAGGGGCTGTGGCGGCTCATCAGAAGAGGGAGGCGGCTCCCCGAGGCTGCCTTCTCTCCCGTTCTCCTCGCCGCCCGCCATGAGCTGTGATAAGGAAGGAGGAGACGGAGGGGACTCCGCTATCGGCGCTGTCCCCGCTCAGGCATGGCCGCCGCCATTTGTTTACGCGTTGCCATGGAGACGGGAAGAGCCCGAGGGCGGTGATTCGCGCCAACCAATAGGAGCGCAGAGCCTGCAGTGAAGCAGCATGGGAATTGTAGTTCGCCTCCCTGAGGCGGCCATTGGCCTCGCTCCCGCCTCGAGGTGCACAACAAACTTACAAACGTTAAAAATATGTCAATTAAAGGAGATAAAGAGGCGCACAAACACTCTCTGGCGAATACAGAGCCTTTACTGCTGCCTCAGTGTGTGGAGGATGACCAAAGAGTTTTTGATCAACCACAAGGCAACCCAAACGCTCATTAAGCCCGATTTGCGTATTAACATTGACACCCCTGAGGATCAAAAGCTTTCCAGGCGTGCCGTGTCTCACCTGTATAACCACAGTCCCCAGAACCCCACCTGTAACCTGCGGTCATTCCATCCCATTGGGAAGGGCCAAAAATAGCACAAAAGAGGGATTTCAGGGCGGAAAGATTGAAGGGGAAAACACTTCTTCTTGTTAGGGATCAGTAAATGGCTGTGTCTCTTCTCCTGCCTCAAGGGATGACTTTCAGTCATGGCTTTTGTGCCTCCAATTGCACTGGGAACATTAATTTTATATATATTTTAATATCTATATATGTATATATATTATATATATATATAATATCTAACTATGTATGGACACACACAGAGAAATAAAAACATAAATTAGATTTCTGTTATAACACTTACTTTCACGACACACCATTAACCATAGTTGGTGCAGTACTGTTTTTCTTTAAGAGAAAGGTACAATTTCAGAACTGATATGGGAAAAAATAAATATAATTTGGCCAGATTTTTGGGAAATATTGAGAGAGGAGACTGTCACAGCAGGGGACAGCAAAATTACAGCTTTTGAGATATCTTTGTGTGTTGTCCTGTTTTTATATCATGTGTATCTTACAGACAGTAATCTGCTCCTAATACAAATTTGAAGTAAAGATGTTAAAGATATTTGAGTTTTTGGGTCTAACATCCCCTTTTGTTTTTTTTATTTTCCACACTGCAGAACAGGGCAAACTGAGAATGAAAAGGCAGAAAATAAAGGGGAAAAGGAGGAGGAGATGTCTCCAAATGCAAATCCCTGCAAGATAAACATGGGAAAAGAACTTATCCGTGTGGTGAAACAATTTAATATTGGGGATGGGGTTACTGCAGTGAATTTCCATTGTTGGGAAAGTGACACCAACTTTGAATGAGGTGGTTATTGCTAAGAAAAAAATGAAGAGGGAGATAGAAAAACTCCTTATGGACATTGCTCGCTGACTTTTATCTCTGTGCTTCAGGGAAACATTATGATAAGTGCAATAAAGCCACCCCAAATTGCACCCTTTTATTATCTCGCTGGCCATAAATGTTAAAACCCTTAATGGGATTTATTCCTTCTCCACTGAGCAGCCCCCGGCAGCGAAGGGAAAGGCTGGAGAGCTCAGAAAGGACAGAAAACCCTGCAAGGGAAGGGGGAGCCCTCTCTGGGAGCGAGGTTGGGGAGCGATGCCTTGAGTTTCAGGTTTCCTATTTTCCAGATTCTGCATTGGTGTGTGACTCTGAACTCCATATAAAGTGCCAGCAAGTTCTCCTCACAGCTCAGTCAGACAGAACAATCCTTTTCCAGCCCCACAACCAAGGACAACGCTGCAGCTTCAGGCCCAAAAAGTAAAAACAACAACTGAGGAGAGCAATCTGGGAGGATGGGACTGCATAACCTGGAGCTGGAATTGGACAATGAACCCCAATACGGAAATGGACCAAAACTTATAAAAGTGTAAAAACTTGTGACCACCATCCATCTTGGGTCCATCCAGGCTCTTGCACCGACCAAGGTGTATCCTCTGAAGACCTTTAATAAGTCTCTACTTTATTCATTTAACTCTTTCTTGGTTTGAAAAGCCAGGTGTCTGCTGAGGAAGGCAGGAGGCTCCCCTGAAATGGAAAGTGTAAACCCCCTCCCTCTGAATTATTGTAATTTTGAAATTAAGCGGCTCCCAGACAAAGCCTGGTTTAGCAGGTGGCCCAATGAGCAGAGATAACTGCCCCACCTCTAACAGGTGGCAATAGAATACACACCCCCAGCCACTCCTGCATTTGTAACCTAACACAAATGCTGTTTAGCCTCTGTTCCAGGTAACCTCTTTAGGCATCAGGAGGCTTTGTGGCTTGCTGTGACCCAGGAGAACAATTCTGGATCAGCAGAGCTGCAAAGCCAAGCAGGAGCTGCTCAAGGACAGTGATGTTTTGCTCCCTGTCGTGCTGCTGGGTCTGTTCCAAGATTTTGTGGTCTCTAGGATGTTCTCCTTGCCAAAGCCTGCTGCTTCACAGCCCACATCTGTGGGTTTTGCCTTCTGCAAACTGCAGGGTCATCATCTCCTGCTTCTCTCCTGCACCACGACTGCCAGTGAGCACAGGGAATTGGGTCACCCCCACAGGAGATGGGGCTGATGGCAATGCCTTGAGAAGGCTGAGCTAGAAGAGAGATTAGATGGAGCTAAAGAATAAAGCAGGGATGGATTGAAAGGATCTCCTCCATGGATGCCCCTCGGGCAGCACAAGAGCCCAGCCAGGGCTGCCCCCAAGATGAACCCAAATGGCCCCAAAATGCACGAGCGCTCCCGGGGTCTCTCCCTGGGATCAGCTCTGCTCCATGTGCACATTGCAGTTCAGTGTCCAATTCCAGCTCAGCCCCTGCACTCCCATCCTGCTTGTTTTTCTCTCTGCAGCCCACGGGCTTTGTGCTCCTGGGCTGAGATTTGGATCATTTGTCCTTGGTGCCCAGCTGGAGCAGGAATTGTTTTGTCTCCCTGTTCTTTGAGGAGAGCTCACCATCCCATAATATGAAGCTCAGACCCACACACTAAAGCAGCTCAGAATGTGAAAATAGAAAAGGTAAACGCTGAGGCATCAATGAGACACAGATGGGTGAGATGTTTCCCCAAATATTCCATCTTATTTTGAATTTCAAACACTGCTTGGCTGTGGTGTGAAATGTTCCCCAAATTCTCCTGGCTCTGGAACAGCAAACACTGAATGACCATTAAAATAACCCCAAAACCCAGGTCTGAAGCTGTAAATCTGCAGTTATTGTCCTCGTAAAACCTCCCCGCTATTGACAGAGGGAGCACTTCCTACTCAGGATTGTTAATGGCAAACACTGGCCTTAAATACATTGATTTACCATTCAATTATGAAAATAATCAGCTCCCAAATCTGTGCCACGTGCAAAGCAGGTTTATGGGCAGCCCTCTGCACTTGTAAAAGCCCCACACAAATTCACTCAGGAAGCTCCAGGCAATGAAAGGACCCAGCTGGGTGTAGGGAGGAGGAAATTCCAAATGCTCCCGAGTAGAAAGAGAAGTGAGGTGGAAAGCAGAAAACTTAAATCCCATTAAACTCAGTTTGCAGGTCCAGCTTTCATGGTGGTGGGGCAGAGGTGAGAATTTATTTGACACTTTCCCTTCAGCTTCTTCCCAGGGCTGTGCCCCTGGGATTCCTGCTGGGAGCACATCCAAGCTCCTTAAATCAGCTCCCTGCAGCCAGTGGCTTGGGTGTACTCATTTCCCCATCATCTTCTTGTGTTTCTTGCTGAACCTGCCCAACATTTTCCACTGGGGTGTTGGTGGCAGGAGTGGCTGTGTCACATCAGAGGTGGCTGCCTGGAATGTGGAGAAGGCCCCATGTGGGGACAGCTGGCAGCACCCTGCAGGAATCTGGGAAGTCTCAGGTGAGGGGTCAAGAGTGGTTCGGGACACCATAGAGTTGCAAAGGTCATCGAGTCCAACTGTTCTCCAGCACGGCCCAGGCCGTGTCCCCAAGTGTCACATCCACATGGACCTTAAATCCCTGCAGGGATGGGGATTCCCCACTGCCCTGGGCAGCTGTGCCAGGGATGGACAACCCCTTGGGGGAAGAATTTTTCCCCAAAATCCCGCCTGAGCTCCCCTGGCCCAGGCTGCGGCCGTTCCCTCTCCTCCTGTCCCTGTTCCCTGGAGCACAGCCCGACCCCCCCGGCTGTCCCCTCCTGGCAGGGACTTGTGCAGAGCCACAAGGTCGCCCTGAGCCTCCTTTGCTCCAGGCTCAGCCCCTTCCCAGCTCCCTCAGCCACTCCAGACCCTTCCCAGCTCCATTCCCTTTTCTTGGACATGCTCCAATCCTTTCTCTTCATGAATGGCCAGAGCTGTCCCCGGGATTGCAGGGGGTCCCTCAGCAGTGCCAGCACAGCGGACAGTCCCTGCCCTGGGGCCATCCTGGGCCCAGTCTCCTCTCTCCTTAGTCCTGGTTCTGCTCAGCTCAGGCTCGGCCTCCCTGTGCCAGAGCCTCAGCCAGGAGCAAGAGCATCAGCTCTGCCCCAGCTGGGGGCCAGAGGTGTGGAATTCCCAGAATTCCCAGAATGGCCGTGCTGGGAGAGACCTTGCAGCCCATGGAGTCCAGCCCAGCCCAAGCCCTGAGCCAGAGCCTGGCACCCAGTGCCACATCCAGGCTTGTTCAACACCCCCAGGGATGGTGACTGCAGCACCTCCCCGGGCAGCCATGGCAGAGCTTTATCCCCTTGCTGGAAAAGCTTTTTCCTGACACCCAGCCTGAATTTCCCTTGGCACAGCTCGGGACTGTGTGCTGTGGCTGTGTCAGTGCTGCTGGAGACAGAGCCCAGCCCAGCTGAGCACAGGCACCTTTCAGAGCTGTGCAGAGTGCTGAGGGCAGCCCTGAGTCTCCTTTTCTGCAGGGGAGCACCCCCAGCTCCCTCAGGGCTTCCTCTCAGGGTTGGTGTTCCAGCCCCTCTCCAGCCTCGCTGTCCCCTCTGGATGTGCTCAGTGTCCCAAGGTCCTTCCCGAGCTGAGGGGCCAGAGCTGGGCCCAGCACTCGAGGTGCGACCCCAGCAGTGCCAGTGCAGGGCAGAGTGACCTCCCTGCTCCTGCTGACCTTGTCAGCCCACGAAACCTTCTCCACCTCCAGCCCCAGCCTTTCCCTCCTCTGCTCACCCTCCCCTCTCCCTCTGCAGGGATCTCCTCTCCCCTCTGCTCTGCCAGACCCCCAGGAATCCATCCATCCATCCATCCATCCCTCTCCTATCCATGCCTGTGTGTGTACATCCAATATATGAATTTATATCTGCCAGGCAGGTTTGTATCTTCCTTAATCAAGAGGATAAAAAAGGGAAGAATCCCTCAGGAGAGGATGTGTTGGAGGCTGACACTCAAACTATGAAAGGAATCAGAGCAATTTGCTTTTCCCTCCACCTTTCCTATTGTGTCTGGCACAGGCTTCAAGATTGTGGGATAATTAAAACCCAGTAAAGATTATGAGGCTGTAAAAAGGAAATTGTGAAACCCTCATGAACATTTACAGCCCCCATGGAAACATTTCGGGTTTGTGGTCTGGAGAAGTATTTCCTTGTCTCTTTAAGCACCAAAGGAGCACTTCCCTGGAATGATTCCTGGCAGAGCTGCTGGCATTTCATGGGGCTCTACAAAACAGAATCTCCAAGCTTTGTCTGTTAACTGTTGTGTCCTGCAGGGTCATGTCAGGACAGCAGAATGATTTGTGGGGAAGGAGTGGGGCAAGGGAACACAATCATGGAATGCTTTGGGTTGGAAGGGACATCAAAGCCCTTCTGGTGCCACCTCCCAGTGTCCCAGGCTGCTCCAGCCCCAGTGTCCAGCCTGGCCTTGGACACTGCAGGGATGCAGGGGCAGCCCCAGCTGCTCTGGCAATTCCAGCCCAGCCAGGAATTCCTCATTGCCAAGATCCCATCCATGGCTGCCCTCTGGCAGTGGGAGCCATTCCCTGTGTCCTGTCCCTGCAGGCCTTGTCCCCAGTCCCTCTGCAGCTCTCCTGGAGCCCCTTCAGGCCCTGGAATGTGCTGGAAGCTCTCCCTGGAGCCTTTTCCTCTCCAGGGGAGCACCCCCAGCTCTCCCAGCCTGACTCCAGAGGGGCTCCAGCCCTGGAGCAGCTTCATGGATCCCTCTGGACTCTCTCCAGCTGCTCCAAATCCTGCTGATTCCAGCACTGGATGCGGAATTGGAGATGTTCTGTGCTCTTGTAAAAGATCCCAGAGTGAGGACTGGGTCCCTCCTGCAGGGCAGATTTGGGGTAGGTTGTGCTCTGCACAGCTCAGGTCAAGGTTAAAGGAGGTTCCCAGGATTTTTGCACAGTTTCCAACACCCTGTTGTGTTTTTTCCTTTGGGAAACCATCTCCCACTGCAAATGTTTTATAAATGCCCCAATTTCCATAGGCTAGAGAAAACAGGAACCGGACAGCAGGAAAGGAAAAATCAATGCTGGGAAGGCAGGAAAGTTTCCCAAGGGCTGATGTTTCAGGAGCCTTGAGCTTCTCTTCCACCCCTCAGAAGTGACAAATCCAGGACAGCCGGAACCTGGTGAAGCTGGACAAGACCCTGAGGACCCCTGAGCACCAGTGAGGGACTGGGGGGCTCGGCCCAAACCCAAAAGGGTGGTGGCTCCTCCGTGGAGAGTCCAGGACTTCAAACACCTGGTGACCAGATGGGGCCTCAGGGGACTTCCCAAACACCTCAGGAGCCTCTGGAGTGTAGAGCCACCCTCTTGTCCAAGAGGAAGCCCCCGAGTGTGGCTGCAGAGGGATGCTGAGGGGGGTGTGGACACGGTGAGGGGGCTGTCTGAGGAGTTATTTACTCCCAACCACAACAGCTTGTCTCTACCCACCACCCAGCTCTGTAAACAAAAGCTGTTCCCAAAATCTCTCCCCAACACCCACGGTATCTCCTGTTAGTGAGAGAGGGTTTGAAACAAACACCAACACTCCGAGCCTTTGCAAGGGGAACTTTTCCCTCATTTCCAATCTAAACCTTTCCTGGTAAAACTTGAGGTCGTTTCCTGTTGCTTAGGGGAGAAGAAACCAAATCCCACCTGGCTACAACCTCTTGTAAGAGAGTTGCAGAGAGTGAGGAGGTGCCCCCTGAGCCTCTTTTTCTCCAGGCTGAACAACTCCCTGCGATAAAAAACCCCATTTCTGTGCTTCAAAATCACAACATCTGTGGTGTGTTACACTCACGGCGGGAAGAAAACGTTCTCCATTCCAAAACCACCTTCCCAGGAAAAAATATTCCGTGAGGATCCTCTGATGAGGATTCGAAGATGCTGCTGCAAGGAAGAATCCTGGAATTAAGGTTGGAAAAGACCTCTGAGATCATGGAGTCCAAGAAGCTGGAGCAGGGAATGTCTGTGGGGGGCTGGAATGAGGTGCTTGGGCTCTGGATTCCCACGTTCCACATGCTGCTCCTGCCTTTCTCCTTGGTGTGATCCCTGGAACATTCACTTCCCTTGTGCAGGTTTGGAGAGGACTGAGAGTCTGAGCTCTTGAGGAGGCACCAGTTAATTGCAAACTCTAATTACCTCAATTGCAAAATCTTCTCTTTCCTCTCCACTTGCTGTAGGTGAGGCCCTGAGTGTCACTGCTGCTCTGTTCACACCTCGTGGGGCTGTGAGGAGCAGCTCGAGGAAAAACAATTTAAATAATTTGTTTCAGACTCAAAAATACTCCCAAAGATGAGATTTTCCTGATTTTATCCAATCTGTCCTGTCCCCCACCAGCACAGCTGCTGGGTGGGTGGAAATGTGGACTGCAAAGCCTGAGATCAGCAAAGCAGAGCCTCAGATTATTAAGAAATTAATAATTAACCAGTTGCACACCAGGCCACAGCAGCCCAGTCTGAATTCAGAGCTCCTCACACATCAGTCCCACACCTCAAAGGGTCCAAAAATGGGATTTCCTTGTCCCAAGCAAGGACAAGAGACATGGAAATCCCGTTTCTTTGTCCTGAGCAGCTCCTTTTCCCTTTCCCAAAGTCTGGGTAGGGAATATCCAGCATTCCAGGACCTCCACGTGGATCTGTGATCCCAGGAACATCCCATCACCATCCCTCATGGAATTCTCCCCCACTCCTGCAAACCCATCAGGGAAAGGGAGGAAGGAACTCCTGCAGTTAATGGCCAGTATTGACATGAGAAAAATTTGGATTGTGAATAAAAGGAGGGAAAAAACCTTGGAATCTTCAAGATTCAGCAACAAGAACTGATGGGTTCTGCTTCTTACATGGAGTTGGTCCGTGGTAGCTGAGGGTTGGACAGAGTGACTCAGAAAATCCTTTCCACACTGATGGAGCCTTGGAGAACACTGAATTTGGTCCTGGAAAGGAATGTTTTAAGCACCTCAGGAATGACAGTGCTTAAAAACAGCCAGACAAACCACCAGGGCTTTTAAACATCCTTTAATTCTGCAATTTCAAGGTTGACACACAAAGCACCTACAGCTCAGAGAGAACCTTTCTCAGCACAGGAAACCCAGCTGGATCCCCAATTTTCTTGGCAAATACAAGTGCAGTGGATTCTGATTTTGGAGGAATAAGGAACCTTTTGCCAGGTGAATTTAGAGGGTCAAGGCAGGGCAGAATTGGTGCCCTGGGTGTGCCTCAGACCCTGGATTTGGTGCCCTCCTGCCCTTGCTGATCATTGGTGCTGAGCTACACAACCCTGCCCGTCCTTCCAGTGCATCAAGTGACAGCCACAAAATATCTCTGGAGCTGGGGGGAACTCAAAGATAACATTCAGGACAAGAGAAGGAAGCTTTTTTGTTATTTTATATTGGCAATTTTCTCCTGCATCCACCCGGCGCTGCAGGAGCACCAGATGGCTCCGGGATAATGAAAGAGGAGAAGTGGAAACAAATGGTCCCGTGTTACCTCCCACGTGCAGAACTGGCTGATCACCACCTGAAGGAATAAACAATTCCATCTTTTAGCAGTGGAAACAGCAGGAAACTTCACGTGGGTACAACCTGGAGAGAGCTCTAGCAGAGCTGAGCAGGCTCCGAAAATATCTCCAAACCATCAAGGTCCCACATGTGATCACCAGGTCTGGGATTGACTGGCAGGGTGCTGATTATTTAGTGTGGTCTGAACTTCCAAGACCCAATTTTCCCTTTTCCCACCCCACAGCTCCCTTTACATCCCAAAGCAAAGCAGCAGCAACAGAGCAAATCCAAACATCCCACCCCAAACCCCACTGGGGTTCCTGCTGTGGAATCACTTTTGGGAGAACATCGAAGAAGCGTTACGTGGATACACACCAAAACCACCCCAACCCCAAATCTCAAATGGCATTCCCCTCCTCACCACAAAGCCCAGAAGATTCCCACTTTTTCTTAGATTAAAACAGAACAAAACAAAAAAAAAAACTTGGGAGGTGCCACCCGCCGGCCGCGGGTGAGGGGGGTGGCAGAGGGGGTCACACGGTGGTGATTTTCTTGTCCTTGGTGGCCTGTTTGATGGCAGCCTGCTCGCAGATGATCTCCTTGAGGCGCTGCAGCCTCATGTTCTGCGTGGTTTGGTCCCCCACGCCCGTCTGGCTGCGGTGCAGCAGGTTCAGGGCGTAGATGTACTCCAGCTCCGTGTACTTCACGCCCTGGTCCACCACCAGGTTCAGCAGCTCGTCTGCTGTGTTGTAGAGCATCTCGTAATACTGCCTGCAAAGAGAAAAACACCCTGGGTAGTTGTGGTGCTTGGTGGTCCAGACCTTTTGCAGAATTCCACGAGCTCTTGCTTTTATTCAGCAGTGCCACGAGCAGAGAAAGTTGAACAAAGCGCAGGCATCTTCCTGCTGAACGTCATCCTAAAATCCCAGAGTGGTTTGGGTTGGAAGGGATCTCAAAGCTCCTCTTGTTCCACTCCCTGCCATGGGCAGGGGCACCTTCTGCCATCCCAGGGTGCTCCAAGCCCTGTCCAGCCTGGCCTTGGGCACTCCCAGGGGCAGCCTCAGCCTCTCTGGGTGACCTGTACCCAACGTGGGCAGGTCTTAAAGTCAAAGTGACAGAAATCCCCTTTGTTGAGACTCACAGAATGGTTTGGGTTGAAAGAGACCTTAAAGCCCATCCAGTTCCTGCTTTGACCTCCTCTCTCCTCACTCCAGATATCCCATGGCTGAGCCCTGGGAGCTTTTCCTGCCCAGGCTGATGATCTGGGAAGGGTAAATCAGCTTCCCCGTGCTCGGCCGTGCCCACCTTAAAGCCAAAAGAGATCTTGGGGAGCTAAATTTGCTCTTTGGTTAGGTTTGCTAATCCCACAAAATTATTTATTAACCTATTTGTCAGATGACAGACTGAGCTTTTGATAACTTTTAATTCTTTTCCTTGGTTCTAAACCTCAACTTTAAAACCACAAAGCAGTTGGCCAGCATTCCACGGAGCAGATTCCCCTCACCTGTCCTCCACTTATTTATTCCCTCCATCCTTTACAACTTGCTTTCCTCAGCCACCTCTTGATAATCAAAAGAGGGTTTATAATGGCAGGGACAAACACACTTGTGGAAGGAAAATGAAGAGCCTAAATAAAAAAATCACAGAACAAGAGGCTCATCCCACTCCCTCTTTCATATTTCATTATTTGATAACATCAGAGGCTGAGTCCATCAGAGCTGCTTGGGCGAAGGCAAACAGGAGAGTGTCTGATCAATATTTATTAATACTTTCAAAGACAAGGAAGGCAAAGTTGAGCAGACTCTGTAATGGAGTGAATAATTACTCATGCAAATTGGGCTTGGCCGCGGGCGCTGCCATGCCAGAGCGGCAGGTTTTTAATTGCACCCAATTAAAAATGCACACCTTGTGCTCCTTCCCTGCTGCCTCGCCTGCTCCCCTTTTATTTTAGAGGAATTTTTTAATTAAAAAATAATCTGATCCCGAGAAGAGTGGCAGATGAATCCCGTCTTTGTGAGGTGCAGGAATTCTTCAGTCAGCCCAGATTTAGGACAGGTGAGGAAGGAGCTGTGAGGAGAGGAGGGGGCTGTGCTGCTGGGCTTGCCCACTGACCACTCTGTGCAGATTTAGCCCTGATTTGCCTTTTTTTCCCCTTAAGGTGCTCTGTCACCTTGGGAAGGCCACGGATTTTTTTGCTTTGGAGCAAATCTTCCCTGCCCCTGGATCCTTGGAATGTTCAAGGCCAGGCTGGACGGGCTTGGAGCAGCCTGGGATGATGGAAGGTGTCCCATGGCAGGGATGATCTTGGAGGTCCCTTCCAACCCAACTCATTCTAGGATTGTGGGGATGCAGCTGATGGGAACAAAGTGTCCCAGGGACTCATCCCAACAGAGAAATCCTTTTATTTCCATGTTTACTCTCAGTTGTCACTTATTTGTGTCATGCTGAAAAGCACCGATGGGATTTGTTGGGCTGATCTGGCAGGAGAGATTTTACACACAAAAACATGGAACAGGTTCTTAGGAATCTGTTCTTCTTAGGAAGGTTGTTCTTATTCCATAGGAATTCTTCTCCCGAATTCCTATGGAATTAGAGCTGCTCTTTACAAGGGAATTAATCTGCTTCAAGCTTTCAGCTCTTCAGGATGGTAAAAAAACTTCTCCACTGGCATCCAGCCCCAGTGCTGATGGCACATTTTGGGGAATGAGGAGGGAAGGACTGCCTGAGGGATCCCAAATCATTAACATCCTGCTCAAGCAGGATAATTAACTAATTTTGATGGTTTGGATGACAAAGGTTTGTTAATTCTTTAAAAAATAACATCCATTTTTCATGTGATGAGCTCACATCCCAACTGAGACACTCATGGCCTGTTCCTCTGACCACTGGCAATGGGATTGAGTCCAAAGCTGCCTTGAATTTTTTTTTGGGCATTTTTTGGGACAAAACTGAACACTCCCTGCTCCCTTTATCCATCTGGAATTGCCCCTGGAAGATCCACCACGACATGAGGAACAGCTCTGTGCTAAGAGCAGACAGGGAAGGTCAAATATCCCTTTAATGGGATGGAAATGGTTCCCAGCTGCAGGAAAAAACCATCCCATGGGCAAACCAAAAATGCAGAATCCACCTGACCCCCAAACCACTTCCTTTTGTTGGCTTTTAAGCAGCACTTTTGAAAGAAAACAGCAGATTGCCAACCACGAACCCATTCTGCAAGGAGGCATTTTGAGCTGATGTATCTATAGATTCCCATATTAAAAAATGGTCTCTTGAACTCTGTTCTTGGAGAAAGAGAATAAAAATTAAGAAGCTTTCTCATTTAGGGGGAAAAAAAAATCTCAGGAAAGGCAATCAGGATGAGCCCAGCTCCTCTGAGGGCTATTAATACCATTCTCCATTTAAATGCTAATGTTCACCTCTAACCCAAAAAAAAACACCAAAAAACCAACTTTTCAAAAGGTGGCCAGGTGAATTCCAAATGAAATCCTGATTTCCCTGAGAATGACTTGATCTCCTCTTCAGAGGAGGTGATGTTTCAGAATAAAGGATCCCACTTTAATTATCCCTTCCTGATGTAGCTGGAGGCCTGCTCTGCATCAGACAGGAACGGATTCTCCAGGCAGGAATTCCAGTCTGGGCGCTGAACTAGCCAAAGGGAACGAAAAAAAAAAAAAAAAAGAGAAATAGAAATTCTTTGACTGAATTAGCCAAAGGGAATGAAAAAAAAAAAAAAACAAGAGAAATAGAAATTCTTTGCCTTATCTCCCTCTCTTTTGGGAGATTAGGGAGGTGCTTTGGCAGCACCCAGAATTGCTGCTCTAATGGGAAAGTCAAAAAGGTTAAGTAGGAAGCACTTATGGAAAATCTGGATAAAAAACTAAATGAGGAGACAGGGAGACAGGATAGAAGGAAGATTTTATGGTGAGGGTGGGGAGACCCTGGAATAGAATTCCCAGAGAAGCCGTGGCTGCCCCTGGATTCCTGGAAGTGTCCAAGGCCAGGATGGAGCACCCTGGGATGGTGGAAGATGTCCCTGCCCATGGCAAGGGGTTGGGATGATATTTAAGGTCCTTTCCAACCCAAATTCTGTGATTTTACGAAAAACCACCAGGCAGGACAAGCAAGAAACTGAAGATGATAAAAAAAGACCAAAGCTGTGGTTATAAAATCACTCAATTTTGATATTTGACGATCATGGTGGAACCATGATATTTAAATACAGAGGGGGATGAGTGAGTGGAAAAAAAAAATAAAAAAGGAGAAAACAGCAAGAAATAAGGTGACTTTAGTCAAGTAATGCAAAAGAAATGAATTTTCAGGCCTGGCTGAAAGAAGAAAATCCCATGGGGCATTTTTCCCTTTGGAGTTATTAGAGGTGGGAATGGGAAGAGCTGAGAATGGTTATGGGGCAGGAGAGATGAGTTCCAGGCAGGAGTTTGCAAAGGTAATTTGGAAAGCTCAGAACACCAAAGGAAAATGCAGGCAAAGCAGCAATTACTGTAATTCCTGCACCTGGTGAAGGCTGTGGGGATGTTTGCACACACACGTCAGTGAGCAGCATTTTAAATCAAAGATCTGCAAATGTGGGAGCTGCTGGTTCCAGCTCCAGAGCTTCTGAGGGCGAGATGGAAAATAGGGATGGGAGGGGACAGCTCCATCGTGGCTTTTCATGGAATCACACATGGGTTGGGTTGGAAGGGACCTTAAGGATCATCTAATTCCAACTGGGACACCTTCCCCATCCCAGGTTGCTCCAACCTGGCCTTGGACACTTCCAGGGATGGATCAAGCTCCTCTTTCCAACCACTGCTCATCCTCAGCTGCAGCTACAACCCTAAAATAAGGGACAGCACCCTCAGGACACCATTCCAGGAGGGAATGTAAATCCTGATTGACTTTTCTTCAGACTTCTTCCTTGTTTTTCAGTCAACCCGGAGCAGTTCTGGGGACACCAACAGGAATGTTCCTTCTGTGCCTCCAGAAGAGCCCAAAGTGCTTTAGGGGAGCTCGCATCAGAGATGGTTTTGCTGTTCTGGTCAACCTCAGCTCCTCTCAGACACCACACCAAGAGCTGGACACTTCTCCTGCGTGCCTGGGGTGAGGAAGAAGCCCCTACATGGCTACTGAAAAACCCCAAAATGAGGCCAAAAATGTTCCTGTCACTGTAATCCGCATCTTCTCTGTGCTCACCTCATCCACAGCCCCTTGCAAGCAGCTGCCCCATGGCACGTGGCATGATTTGGGGCAGGAGGCACAGGTGGCTCTGGGGCTGTGCTACCACAAGAACACATAAAGACCCACTTGAAAACCCTAAAATCTGCAAAATTCCAAGACGGGAAATGATTTGGGAAAGGAAACAAAGCAGGAGAGGAAGAAACAAAAGTGAATTTGGAGTGCAGTGGTGCTTCACACTCCTGTGGTAGCTCTGCAAATCACTGCCCTTAATAAATAACCAAGGGATGGAAGGATAATACTGGGGGTTTTGTTTAAAAAAAAGCTGGAAGAATAATTAAAATTAAGTCATTTATCCAAGGCAGGAAAAAGTATCAGAGGTGGGAAGCCCTCACCCCTTGCTCAGTACCCACACAGAGCTCTGATCAGGTACAGAGCCAGGCAAGAAAAACAAGTGTATTTATTCAAAAGGACACAAGCACAGCCTTCTAATTAGAGACAGCCTCGTTAGAAAATCCAATTATTTTCCCTTTTAAATTTTAAACCACAGAGACAGCGTATGAAGCCCTACATATAAATCAGCTCACCTGGGGGCT